CTTATTTATTAATAATTTTGAACTGACTATATTTATACAGAATACAGATATATGTTACCTACACTAGGATAAATGAAGGCATATATTTGCTGGAATATTTTTGGAATAGGAAGAATACAACAAATAAGCTAGTTCTATCGTTCGTATATCATTTTCGTAATTTTTGCATTCATTGACTGAATAATCCGGTTTCGCATTTTTATACTCAAAATTTTAATTCAAGTAAACATCTTGAGTCACCGTTTTATAGATTTAATTAAAGTAAGCTTGAGGCATAATATATCAATAAATTTAGACATATAGGCGATATCGATATATTGAAACATATTAAAGATTTTAATTTATTATTGAGGACTGCTAATTTGTAAAATTTACAACGAGGAAAGATTGAAAAATTCGACAGACTTTATTCTAATACGAACTTTAACACATTAAATTAGTCACATTATTACGATATTATGGATAGGTACGAGGAAAATTATTTGAATGGGCCCGACATAGATCGCTTACAACATCAAGAGCAAGAGGAACAAGAGGAACAGGCACCACCTCATCCTGCACCCACCCAGAATATAGTTGACGAAGAAGAGTTGTTAGCTGCACAAGCAGCAGCAGAAGCAGCAGCAGCAGCACAACTGCAACAGCCAGGAGGTGCCTTCAATAATGTTGGACAGGGGTTGACGGGAGTTTATAGAGATATGATGATGCAATATTGGCAGGAAACCATTAATTCGATCGAACACGATGAGCATGATTTTAAGAACCATCAGTTGCCGTTAGCTCGAATCAAGAAAGTGATGAAAACAGATGAAGATGTTCGTATGATAAGTGCAGAAGCCCCAATTTTGTTTGCTAAGGGGTGTGATGTTTTTATAACTGAATTAACTATGAGAGCATGGATTCACGCTGAAGAAAACAAGAGAAGAACATTACAGAAGTCAGATATAGCTGCTGCTTTAACAAAGAGTGATATGTTTGATTTTTTGATTGATATTGTTCCAAGAGACGAAGAGAAGCCCAAAAAGTCATACTCATCCCTGTCCCGATCTGGAAGTTATGCTAATATTCCTACAAATTCGAATCCTGCAAGTCAGACTCACATACCCACAAACCAGCCTAGAAATATATCTCAGATAACTGGGAGTATTAATGAAGACCGAGAAATAAAAACTGATGACAGGCAAATAGATAACCCCCAATTGCTCCACCAACAAATGCTCCAACAACAAATGTTACAACAGCAGCAACATCAACAGCAACATCAACAGCAACATCAACCCCAAAATCAAGCACAGAGTCAGCAGCAACAGCAACAACCAAATCAACCACAAGTTGAACAATCCGGCCACCTGTTACATCTCCAAACTCAACCGCAGCAAATAAAACTGGAACAAAATTATTCTGAGATTCCAGAATATCCAGAAAGAACTACACAACCACCACAAATCAACAACCGAAGTGAATTTCAGAATTTCAACTTCCCAGTTTACGAATGATATTTACTTAAAGTACAAAATATCTATAAATTAACTAAAAGTATTTAATTCTAAAGCGGCTCATCAGTGGTTTCCGTTGTATAATGTATTGAAAATCCGTATTTCTATGAATTTACCTTATAAAAGTATATATATATATATTCTTAAGCAATAATGTAATGAACTTTAATAATCGATGAATTAATACGCTGGATCGGAGTAACTCGGATTTGGTTCGGCTACCCCAGAACGAGGGATATTTTTCTATAGTATATTTGCTCTAAAAAAGCAATGATTCACATTGTTTCTTTATATACTAGGGCAATATATAAGTGAATAATAACAAATTCATATATATTTCAGAGAATGTTTACTACCTCAAGGTGTATAATTAGAAACTCATCTCGAATTATACCTCGGACAAATTCTTTATTCATCAGAAATAGAATACCAATTCATAATAACTATAGTCAAGCCATGAATTTAATGACAATTTCCCAATCTTTGGACGAATCATATACCAAACATAAAATTATTCCTGATGTGGTTGACAAGTTTGACACTCAAGGATTGTTGACAATTGAGTACAATGAACAAGATCATGTTGCGTTAGGAAATACATTGAAGGTGGAAAATACCCAGCATAAGCCTGTTATTCAGTTTACCCTTAACTCCCCAGGACAAGAGAATGAGTTTGAAATCTCGAATGATGACAAATTTACTTTGGTGTTGACCGATCCAGATGCACCATCTAATAAAGATCATAAATGGTCTGAGTATGCTCATTGGATTGTTACTGATTTACCATTGAATGCTAACAGTAACGACGTTGAAGCATCAGAATCCTTAACTACTGTTTTGGATTACTCCAAGGGAAAGGAGATCTTGTCTTACCAAGGTCCAGCTCCCCCTCCAAAGACTGGTAAACATCGTTATGTATTTTTATTATTTAAACAGGACCCATCAGTATCCAAGTTTGAAACACCAAAAGATAGACCTAACTGGGGCACTGGTATTCCAAGTTCGGGTGTTAGAGACTGGGTCAAGAAGAATGGACCTGAACTGAAGTTATTAGGAGTCAATTTCTTCTATGCACAAAACGATGTTCAAGAGTAAGTATAATGTAATTTAATATTTTCTTACATACTATTTTATACATTCTAATTTGAATTATTATGGTCTACGACTCGAACTGTAATCTTTAGGACTTATTACCAAACCTTTTCCTTTTCTCGCTCCCCTATATATCGTTTCTATTATATCAATCATTTCTTGCTTATCGTATACCAAAAAATTTAGCTTATTGTTATTTCCGGTACCAAAATCACACATCATATGCTTATTTCTATAGAAAAACATTATTGTACACGGATCGTATAGTTCATACATTGAATTGAAATCCGGAACTTCATCAATATCACACAAGTATATTGTAGCAAAATTCTTTACCTTTTCTGCAATTCCAAATAAGACCTCATCAGTTATCATACAGTCTTTTTCGTAATCTCTACCAAATCTTACTATTACCAATCTTTCATCTTCAGATAATATGGCTTGATCAACATGCCATCCAGAATGCAAATGTGGAAGAAATACAGAACCCATGCTATTTGTTGTCTTGTATTCTGAATAAAATCTTATAATTATAAGCATTAAATAATCGCTTCATCGCCGATTGCGCGGGAACGCAACAACTGAACTTTTTTTTTGGAATCAGTTTGCATCCATCCACAAACAACTTTATAAATTGAATAACTTAGCAATGGAAGGTCCAACTCAGTTGAAAAGAAGAGGTAGTTGGTTCACCAAAGGAAACCACAATGTAGGTATAGAAATTTTGTCCTGTAATAATGAGGATATACAGATTCCGGATCTAGATGAAGATATCATTCCACTTGATCAGAGTAGTCCAGTACCAGAGGCAGACATTGATACAAGTTGGATTGACACCAAAAACGTTCATAATGATATAGAAGAATTGACCACTTACGTTAATAAGGCATCCTTGAATAATATAAAGAAAAAACTGAGTATTTTGGGATTGTTGAAGCCGGGGAGCGCTCATAACAAACAAGAAGAGGATAGTTCCGAAGAACAAATCAGCTTGGATATTAGAATGCCACAGACAAGGAGAGTTGAAAGATGTAAATCCCAAGGATCGTTGGGCAAATCAATTACTCCGCTCAAGATTCGTGACAATATCAATCATTTCTTGAAACTATGCCCTTCTCAAGAAAACCAAGAAATATCCAGACAGGATACCTGTGGAGTGTTTGAAAAAGTTAAACTGATATCGAAACCTCTGAATAATAACAAATATATAAATTTGAATGGTGTGCCTTGCTCGCGATTAGGGCTAATCGACCATAACCAATGTGCTGCATTTATGTTTCAGCTAAGTAACATAAGGAAGAATGCTATCGACTATGCGTTTTATTTTGATTGGGTTGTATGGCTAGAAAGAAAAAGCGAAGAAAACACTAAAGAAATGTATATGGATAGGATAATTGAAACCAAATCTGATTGGAAGGTTTCTTTAAAAGTTTGTAAAAGAATCATGCAAGAGACCCCTTGTAAAATCCATATTTCCAAAGTTGGAACCACACCAAGGAGACAATCGGAAAATTTGATAGATAGTGGAACAGTTGAATTTTGTGTTCCAATTGAGTATGAATATCCTATGTTTAAGGAAATATCCATTATAGTCATGGATAATTCTTTATATAACCCCCTAGATATTCAGTGTATGTATTCTATTTTGAGTTATTCTTGAAGTAATGAACTAACTAAATTTAGTACCGGTATGCGCTATTTCGTACAAACATATGCCGGCATACTCGATTATTTCACTTTGGCTTTACCCACCAAAAGAAAGAGAATGTGACGAAGACATATTTCCACCAGATAGTATTTTGAGGCTTACTGAAAGTATAAGAGAAATGCTATCCGGGTTTCTACAGGATATAATTGATTCTGCTGTCTTTATCGAGAACAAAACTCTTTCAACTAGAAATATATACGAAAAGAAAGAAACAGCTACAAAATATAATTAAATTAGATATTATTACATTGGAACTACAAAACATATAAACCCAATATAAGAAATTATAGCACATTAATTATTAACCAACTGTTCAAACGATAACACAGAAGCGTGGGACCCCACCACTCCTAGCTCTCCACGAATAATTATCTTTTGTTTCGTCTTGTCTTTGCTCTGTAGAATTAGTATTTTGAGTTGCCATTTTGTAAGGTGATTCAATATCAATTGATAAACATATTTATAAATTAGAGGTCATATTGTTCACTTATATATGTCTTTTTTTTATATATTGATTGTCATCTCAACCTGAAGCTTTTCGGTGCGTTTCCGTTTAGACTTGTTGCAATGGTTTTTCAGGTGTTTTAATTAATACTTTGCGTTAGGCCGTTTAAGGGTCTACGATATGATAGTATATTATATAGTAGTAGTTAAGTGGTACCTAACGTTTATTATTTTGTTGTCCCATATTCAATGTATTGTCAAGTCTCTTTTGGGGATTTAATCTTACATTTTTGGCGAGACAACGAGATGTGTTTCTAGTTCGGGAAAACTGAAATCCATTAAACTTAAAACTAACTTGTCACTAATTGTTTACGATAAAATAATCTTACATCACATATCTGAACTACCGTTAACTAGCTACGTTGGATGACATCTAGACATAGGTTAGGTCTAATTATGGTTGCAAACACGATTACATAAGCAACACCTGGGGGGGGGATTCTTTTTTTCGTAGTGAAAAATTTATTGATAACGAATAGAAGATTTCTTACTTAGTGATCTACAATTAAAAACAGATAAGATGGCCCAAGAGATCGAATTAGGTATCACCGCTGATATGCACGTACATTTGCGTGATGGCAAGATGATGGAATTAATTACACCTACCGTTAGAGAGGGGGGTATATCTATAGCATATGTTATGCCAAACTTAGTTCCACCAATTACTACTATTGATAGGGTAGTTGAATACAAGAAAAACTTGGAAGAGTTGTCACCAAAGACTACTTTCTTGATGTCATTTTATTTATCTAGGGAATTAACTCCTGAATTGATACTGGAGGCCGCCAAATTAGGTGCCATCCAGGGTGTTAAGTGCTACCCAGCTGGTGTTACTACCAATTCTGCAGCTGGTGTAGATCCTAACGACTTTACTCCATTTTACCCTATTTTTAAAGCGTTGGAAGAAAATAATCTTGTTTTGAACTTGCACGGGGAAAAGCCACCTTCAAAGGATGGTGAAGAGGATATCCATGTTTTGAATGCCGAACCTAAGTTTTTACCAGCTTTAGAAAAATTGCATAAGGACTTTCCAAACTTGAAAATCATCTTAGAACATTGTACTACAAAGGATGCTATTGACATGATTGAAAAAATTAATGCTGGTCACAAGGATGGTGACGACGTCAAGGTCGCTGCCACTATCACCGCTCATCATTTGTCGCTTACAATCGATAATTGGGCTGGAAATCCTATCAACTTTTGTAAACCAGTAGCTAAATTGCCATTAGACAAGCGTGCCTTAGTCAAAGCGGCAACTTCTGCTAAGCCATACTTTTTCTTCGGGTCAGATTCTGCTCCTCATCCTTTATCCGCAAAGGCAAAACACGTTGGTGTATGTGCCGGTGTCTATACTCAATCCCATGCTATTGCTTACTTAGCAGAGGTCTTTGAAAGTCAGGATAGATTATCCAACTTGAAAAAGTTTGTGAATGACAACGGTAAAGCATTCTACGGAATCAACGACAACGATGTTAAATGTAAAGACAAATGCTACTTGGTAAAGAACACAAACAATGTCCCAGAAATGTTTGGTAACAAGGATATTACTGTTGTTCCTTTCAAGGCAGGCGAAGAATTAAAATGGTCCGTTGAATGGAGATGAACCTTTAATATTTGGCAATTCCCGGTGCATGTGGCCGATTTGTATAAATTTGCCTGTACGGAATAATGCAAATACCCGGATTTAATAGTTTGCGATTTGAATTACCTACATATTAATAACTCGTAATCCATATACGTCTTACTTATTCATTTACTGTGTAGTTACCGCCTAGTTATAGTTTCCTCACTTCACATATTTTAGCAGATCTATATATTACCCTAAAAAGTGTAAGAGAGAATGCGTATAGTATCCCTGTTGCAATTAGTCCGCATTTTTTTTTTTTGAAGTTTTCAAAAACCTTAATAATATTTTTATGTAGGTTTGAAGGCTTCGATTACAGGGCTGTCATTGTCGAATCTTTTTACTCGGCAAAAAAGTCCACGTCAAAGTTTATGAACTTTCGTTTATCTGTGTATGCTTGTAGCCCAGAAGCGAAATAAGCAGATGACAAAACAAATTAAACTAAGGATAATAAAGGAATTTCGTATATGAACGTGCGGCTTGCATAGGAATAAGCACATGCAAATTGATTGGTCTCTCAACAAACAGAGATATGCTACCCTCCAGACCACGTTCGTACTTATTTAAATTCGTCACTTATCATACCCTTCATTTGAAAAAATTTTCCAACACACGTTGCAGGCTACATAAATTGACACAATTTGTCATATATACTTTAAGCTATTATATCTTGTAAATAAAATAGTGCTAAAATCTTCTATTGTTTAAGTCTCGGCTTTATTTCTTATCAAGAAAATAGAACAATCCTAAAATGACATCAAGAGATTTACCAAAATCATTTAATGAGCTAGCCTTCAGCTGGAGAAGACACCTCAATGATGAAGTGACCCTTCGTAGAAGACGTGGACCGGATATTGAACTTTCGTCCGAGTCTAAAGCAGAAGATAAGGAAAAAAATAAGGTGCAAATGAAAAATCTCTGGCCTGCGTTTTGCTCAGGAGCAGGTTTATTTTCTGATGGTTATGTCAATAACTCTATTGGGACCGTATCGACCTGTTTGTCAATGATATACGGAGATGCGTATTCCAAATCTAATGCTATATCGAACGTTTCTTCGATTGCGTTTGCAGGTACAGTTGTGGGGCAGTTGGTCTTTGGATATATTGCTGACCAAATTGCTAGAAAAGGTGGAATGCTCAGTGCCAATATTATGTTGATTTTTTTCACATTATTGTGTACTGTGGGAACGTGGGAAAGAAATGGAGATCCTACTTCGTTATTCACAGCACTTACTGTTTTCCGTTTCTTCTTGGGTATTGGGATTGGTGCCGAATACCCTACTGCATCGGTTATTGCATCAGAGTTTGCTAATCAGTTACCTGAAGGTAAGAGAAATCGTTATTTTTGTTGGTTTACCAATTTTATGATAGACACAGGTTTCGTTGTAAGTGCTTTTGTTCCTTTAGTCTGTCTTTGGATATTCAAGGAACATAACTTGGAACCTGTATGGAGATTGACTTTGGGTATAGGTGCAATTCCACCTATTTCCTTATTTTTCATGAGGTTGAAGATGAAAGATAGTGATTCATTTCAAAAAATGAGTATGAAAAAAGTAGAGAAAATTCCTTATCTCTTAATATTGAAATTTTATTGGTTCAGATTAACCGTTGTCTCTTTAATTTGGTTTATCTATGATTTCTCTGCTTACTCCTTTGGTATTTATTCATCTATTATTCTTCAACGCGTTGTTCCCGATGGAAATTTGTACCAAACATTTGGATGGAATGTTGTCTTCAATTTGTTTTACATTCCTGGAGCATTCTTAGGAGCGTTATGCTCTGACTACATTGGTCCTAGATTTAGTATCGTCTTAGGTACCTTTTTACAAGGAATTGTAGGATTTATCATGTCTGGTTGCTATCCAAAGTTGAAGGAGCATGTTGGAGCGTTTGTTGTCGTTTATGGTATATTTTCTACTTTAGGTGAATTAGGCCCGGGTGATAATATTGGGGCAGTTGCTTCTAAAACAAGCGCCACTTCCATCCGTGGAACGTATTATGGCATTGCCGCAGCAATGGGAAAAATCGGTGCATTTGTTGGTACTTACGTCTTCCCTATTATCATCAAAAACGCTGGTGGTTCAGAAACAGATAGAGGTAACCAAGCACCATTTTACGTTTCATCAGCATTATGTATATTTTCAGCTGTTTTAGCCTTATTTTTCTGCCCATCAGTCGGGCAGAATGCAATCAACCAAGAAGACTATGATTTTATTAACTATCTTAAGGAAAATAATTACGACGTTAGCCAAATAGGTGATGGTACATTTGCTAACGAAAATAACATTGAGGAGGTCTTTGATACCACCAAGGACAAGAAGACTGAAGATATTAATGTTAATTCAGAAGTAGAATCCTTTGATTAACTTTCTTAAGCAACATTTATTCCTTGTCCATTTTAAAATTTGGAGTTCAGTTCAATTTAAGCATTACATTGTATTTCTCAGTTTTCATTTCAAAGTGAATTTTTTGCAATAATATCACTTTTCAATTAACTAACAAGTTTTTTCAAAATAGTTTAATTTCGGATTACACAATTAAATAATTCTATTTGTAAAATTTTAACACCTATATATTAATTTTTTAATCCTATCCTATATACTATTATGCCAGTAAAGTAAACAAAGTTGATTATTGTTCCATTGAAGCATCTTCATATTGCTCATCCTTTTCTGCACCGAGTTCCACGTTAGCGTTTGAAGCTTCAATTTGATTTTGATCTTCGATTATTTCATCAGTGACACTTTCGTCTTCGCTTTCAACATCGATTGAAAGAATATTTTCTTGATTTTCGTTAGGAATTATTAATTCTAATTCACCGTTTTTCAAAAATTTAGCTTTGATTTCGTTGAATTTTATAACTTTGTCAAACTGGAAATGCTTTTCAAATCTAATTTCGTGATTAGCGAAATCTTGAATTAAAGATTCAGTATCTTCTTGAACTTCTTCGGAATAGGAACTAGAAAATTCAGACTCAGAATCAGACTCAGAATCGGAATCATCAGATTCAGAAGAACTTGATGACTCAGAATCAGATGATTCAGAATCAGATGATGACGATGACGATGACGATGATGACGAGTCTGATGATGAGGAGGATGATGTCAGGCTCTCAGCATGGTCAACTTCCTTGTTTTCTTCCTGTTCACCTTCGATATCTTGAGCTTCTTCTTCAATTTCTCCTTCAAGTTCTTCATCGTCGCTATCAGCATCAAAATTAAATCTACCACTGATAACTAATTCGTTTTTGTTTTTGATAAAATCTATTTTCAATTCGTCTTTCACGATTGATGGAAATCTTAAATTTAATTTGTAAGTGTGATCATCCAAATCCACTAATTCACAGTCCTTACTATTTTGTAAATCTTCAGATAAGTCGATCATAGCAATTTCGTCATCAGAGTCATCAGCACGTAACAAAAGTTGTTCTGGGATTTCTTCATCAGAATAATCTGATTCAACTTCGTAGTCACTACCGTAACTATCTGGTAAGTCAAATCTATGTCTATAAATTGTAATACCTTCATCATCAGACGAGTCTGAGGATTCATCATCAAAAGCATTACATTCATCACAAATGTCATATTCTTGTTCATCTTCAGAGCCAGAGTCCATGTCAGATTCGACTTCTATATATTCAGTTTCTGACTCTAAGTCAGATTCTGATGGAACTGAGACTTCGTCATCACTGACTAAATCATCAGCAAATACTTGTCTGACATTTTCAAGCTGTAATTGATCACTCAAATCTTCTTCATCAGATGAATACTCAATATCAAGATCAGTTTCACTATCGCTGTCATCGGAATCAATATCCGAGTCATCGTCTGAATCACTTTCAGACGAGCTTATATCGGAAGAACTATTAGTTTCGTCATATTCACCACCAGTGATTTGTTTCAAAGCTTCGGCTTGTAATTGGTCATTTAAGTCAATAATATCCAATATGTCTTCTGGCTCATATAATTCCAATTCGGCTTCTAATTCAGAATCCAATTCAGAATCAGAATCAGAATCAGAATCAGAATCGTCGTAGTATCTTACTAATTCATCATTTAAATCATAAACTTTACCTCTTGAATCTAATCTATCAACAGCTGCATTTTCTAACTCGTCATTTAAATCTATGATATCGTTGTAATCATCAGTGTCGTAATCACTGCTTTCGTAGTATTCAAATTCAGGTTGTTGGTTTTCAGTCAAGTCGAATTCGTATACTTCTGATTCTATGTCACTGTCTTCAACTTCTTCGCTGTAGTCAGTCACTTCACTTTCTGCTTCACTTTCAAGTTCACTATCTGGTTCTTCAACATAGACTACCTTGGAAGGTTGTTGATGATAATACTTTCTATATTGTTTTCCCCTATTTGCCTTTGGCTTAGAGGTAAAATAGTTCTTTCTATTATATCTATTACTTGGTCTGTAGGCTGGCATTATGTGATAAATTTTCCTGTTTCTTCTATTTTTTTTAGTCTGATTGTAATTATTGCAATGTCAGCAGACTATTTACTCTAATGTTACTATTATAATTATTCCTTTATCTTAATTAAGAGGTATATTGTAATTTTTTTATACATAAAAATTTTCAGACCCCAAAGAATTTTGCAAAAGATGAGATGTGCGGCGCAGGGGGTGTAATTGCCATTTTCGGTCGCCTAACAAGTTATCTAATTTCTGACATTTTCCGTCGGTTCTATCGTCTTCTTAAGAAAATTCCAGAAGATTCCACTCGTATAAAATTTCTTATAGGTGCATGGTAACTAGGGTTTCTGCTCTGCTAGCATCGACAACCACAACATTACGCCATAGGATTATCGTAAACAATACCCTGAGTACTCGGACAATTATAAGGTTTCACTCTACAGAAGGCCGTAGTAAAAATACAGTTCGTGAGCCACACGACATATTTTTTGGCGAAGAAGTTACCCGCCCGCAAAAATAGTATAAATACTGGCCATTCCCCTATGCTCCCTTTTTCTGCACGCCAAATCTCTTTGCCTTTTGGCTTAGATCAAGTGTAGTATCTGTTCTTTTCAGTGTAACAACTGAAACGTCATCATTGATGACTTTTATAAAATGTTACCTTTATTTTTGGATTATTCGTTCGAAGGATTGATAAGCTTGCTTACACCTTTGAACACAGTGTCGTTGCTATTGCACAATTTGGCTTCTGACGCAACTTTTTAAGTTTCTATCGTGAGAACATGATAGTGATTTAAAAGATTGTTGACAATAGAGTTCCAGCAGTATATAATAACGTTGAAAACTAGCGACTATGTTAGCTTAGGTATTTGACTAAGATGTTTAGACGTCCTGTATATAACAATATTTAGAAGTAGATTAATCTCGCTATACTGTAATCAGGTATTAACTAGTTTCTTCGGACTTCCCATAATAAGAGAATACCAGTCGAAAACGAAAGTAAAAATGGCCCATAAAGGGTCTGAGCTGGAATCATCGTATTCAGACCATAATGATAATGATTTGTTTCCCAGTATTAATAGCTCGCCTAAGAATAATGATTTGTTTCCCAGCATCACCAATTCACGTAAAAATAATGATTTATTTCCCAGCATTAACAACTCGAACGTGAACCATCGAACTGTTCATTCAGATGAAGAGAGCATAGACATAAGCGAGCACAGCTCAGTACGACAGTTTAGAAGTATATTTAATAAACAAAAAATTAGATCCGGGGAGTCTGGGCTGGAGAGAAACCTATTTGAACTGCACTTTGATACTTCATCTGATATCGAATTGAGTACGCTATCGCCAAAGAAGGATATTTCACTCGACTCTTCAATTATTGATAAGATACTGATTTCCGAAGAACAGGCCAAGGATGATAGATTCCAATATTTGAAAACGTATGAAATATTAAAAAAGAATCGGGCAAAGTTTGAGGAGGACGCATCGGTATTTGATTTATCCCTGATGGATGACTACAATAAGTATGTTAAGCAGACGGAGATAAACGATTTGATACACCAGCATGTTGTTGAGAAACATAAAGATAATGTTTTGAGTGTTGTTAAATCGAAAGATTTAGTGGAGAATTTTTATCATGATAACAAAAGCGATGATTTGACATGGGTAAAATCCAAAAAGAAGCAAAGAATACCGTGGTACCGTATTGATAAGAAAAAATCCAAGAAACAGGCTTCCACGGAATCATTATTTGATGAGAATGATACTGTGCCACCTACTAATAAGAAACTGACCAATTATCTTCAGCGGAAATTGAAAATCAGGCATTTGCAGATGATTTCTTTTGGTGGGACTCTTGGGGTTGGATTATTATTGAATAGTGGGAAAGCATTTGTTCTAGCTGGTGGCTTTGGAACATTATTAGCATTTGTAATCTGTGGTCTAATTGTATTAGCTACTATGGTATCGTTTTGCGAAATGGTCACTTTTGTCTCAGTAATAGATGGAGTATCTGGTCTTAGTTCTAGGTTTGTGGATGATTCCTTTGGATTTGCTGTGGGCTGGCTATATTTTGCAAGTTTTGCATTTGGCTTGGCGGGGGAGATCCTTGCTAGTGTGTTGATGTTGAGCTATTATCCCGATTTGAAAATAACTCATCATAAAGGATCTATAGCAGGGTTTGTGACATTATTTTTAAGTCTGATAGTGATAAGTAACTTGGTGGATGTTAGGATATTTGGAGAAATTGAATATATTTCAAGTTTTATTAAAATTGTGTGTGTGTTGATTATGATAATTATAATGATTGTACTAAATACAGGTGGATTTGGATCCGAAAACCTTGGTTTTAAATATTGGCAATACCTGAAATCAGATTTTGATCATAATATTATATTTGGCTTGTTCCGACCTTCTTTCAATTTGAAAGACAATGGAGCTACAAATTCACGTATTGGAATTGGTGGGGATAAAGGAAGATTCTTATCACTACTTACTGCATTATTAGTTACTGCTTATGCATATAGCGGTACCGAAATTGTTTGCATTGCCGCATGCGAAGCAAAAAACCCAAGAAAGGCGTTGCCTTCTGCTACAAGAAGAGTATTTTGGAGAATCCTTATTATTTATTGCTTATCAATATTTTTGGTTTCATTAAATATTTATGCCGGAGATCCAAGATTATTGAGGTATATCCTGGGAAATACAAGTATTTCTGGAGATGAACATGAGAATACCGAGTACGCCATTGACTATGTGGGTGGATTTAATTGCAATTCTGACTCAACAGTTTTTGGTGGGTTCGGAAGTGGATCTCAAAGTCCTTGGATTGTTGCGTTACAAAGTGCAAATCTTTGTAAATTTAGCTCGGTCTCGAATGCGCTTTTGACGTTTTTTGCTGTCACTTGTGGTAATGCTCAACTATATGTTAGTTCGAGAACAGTCTATTCTTTGGCTCTTCAAAAGAAAGCTCCGAGGGTTTTAACATATTGTAACAGTTATGGAATTCCGTATAATGCAGTGCTATTTTCAGCATCTTTTGGACTTTTTTCGTATCTTTGTGTGTCAGAGAAAGCTACAATTGTTTTTCAAGATCTAACTAGTATCATATCGTCCTCAGGTATCATTGCCTGGTTTGCAATGTGCTTGTCCTATATTAGATTTTATTATGGGTTAAAATTTAGGCCTGATATTATTAGTAGAGACGATAAAGCATATCCTTATAGGTCCCCATTTCAACCATATAGTGCGATATTTGGCTTGATAGGTTCCACTATAATACTACTAGCTATGGGTTTTGTGGTATTTTTAGATGGCGAATGGGACACCTTGTTCTTTTTCTCGAGCTATGGTTCTCTAATTGTATTCGCTCTACTTTATGTTGGTTACAGGCTTGTAACAGGTTCCAGGACTCCAAGTTTGGAAACCCTAGATTATGACTCGGGAAGACGTGAAATGGATAGGTATGTTTGGGATGCTGGTAGAGACTTCAATCTTCGAAGCTTTAAAGAAGTGGTGCAAAGAGTTATCTCATTTTTGGCGTAGAGGTTTAATTGTAATATAGCAGAATTTATGTATAATTAATGGGTATTGTGTATAGAAGTACTGATTTCATTAGGCTTATTCTATAACCTAAGATCTAACAAGAGTATATAGTTAATTTACTTTATGTCTAAGAAAATTTGCCTACCTAAGACCTACCTAAGACCTAATGTATGTGCTGCATTATCTTGGCTCCTATGATGTCCCCTACATATGCTGCATGGTAACCTATTAGGGCGTCGACACAACATAAGAACTATAGGTTAGATAGACCCATTAAATTGCTTACATCTGACATGTATTCATCTACGCGATGGTCAATTTATGCCTATTTTACTATCTCTGAAGTTGGTATATCCTAGAGACAAAGAAAATTGAAAAAAAAAAAAAAGGTACTAAATCAAATAATTCCTAATTTGGATTTATTATGAAATTTTTGCAAAAAAAAATTCAAGCGAGCTTGTTTAATCAGTTGTGCATTAAAAAGTTCAAGAAAGCTACTGATTATAAGGTGATAGGGTCAAGTGAAGATGAATTGGGAACCAACGAAATATTTTCTACGAGGGAAAGTCGTTAAAGCATTCTTGCCTTTTGCAAAACATCCTAACTTAAAGAATGATAATTTGAAAAATTTATATCCTGGAGACGAAGTTTACATTTTTGAGACAACAAATAACGGTAAATGGGCAAGGGGACATACAATTAGTAACCCATTTCCAAGTGATTTTACTATCACATCCGTTAATATTGATGAGATCCCAAGACAAAACATTGATGTTGTAGTGTTTCCGTTGAAATATATCCAAATTGTTGAGGAAGTACCATTTACGTCATCAGTTGAAAATGAACTAAACAAGTCCAGAAATGGGGCTACAATTCCTACTATCCAAGATTTCGAATTGGCACATAAGCAAGCATCGGAAGGTGAGCCTGATGATAATGGGAAAACGTTTAGAACGCGTATTCCACCACTTCCCATTACAACCTTTGACGAGAATAATGATTTAATTGCAGAAATGAAATATGCCCTTCAATTATTAACATCGCATATATTTGCTCTATATTCAATTGGGGAATTCAGATTATTCAATAAATTATGCCAGATTTATTACAGTTTGGATGAAACTAGACTTAAATTATTAGGAAATGTTCTAAGCTCTAGTGAATCACAGGCAGCAAAAGCAAAAGCTATTCTTTTGTTAAATAAGATTCCAAAGATGTTAGCATCGCACAACGAAAGATTAGGCGGCCAATCTTTTGATCTGAGTAACGAAAAAGCAGATACATCAGGATATAAGGCAATTTTAGCAAGAGACGCATTAACAGGTAATTTGTTGTCAAATTCTAATGCTATACCACCTAGAATTGCATTAAATCAAGTTCTATGTTCATTATCCCCTCATTTTCCTATCGATGCACATGTCGATAAACTCAGTTACTCCCTTACTCCTCAGCCCAATAAGAGACTTGTTCCCAAGCCGGTCTCGCACTTGCTAATAGACTTCAAATCTCTTCAAGGATCATCTACTTATCAACCACCGGATTTCTTAGGTATGGTTGTACATTTTTATATTCGTTATGATCGTGTAAGGCTAACTGAAACTTTTGCAGTTAAAATTAATACACTGGATTCGTTTCTTGAATCTGAAGAAGTGCAAGCTGCTTTATTCAAGAATATACCTTCAAATGAACTTACTTCTGGTAAGGTGTATTTAGTAGCAGTAGTAACGGAGGAAATTGAATTAGGTTTAAAAGATAGAAAAGAAAAATCAAAAGTAAAAAGTATCGAAAAGGGTATTGCTGCAGGTGTTGCAGACATTAGCAAACTTTTTACTAAAGAATACGCTTCAAAGTCTTTAAACGAGCAAGTATTTAAAATTAGACTTTTTGGATCTTACATGGATCATAATAGAGATCTGAAAGACTATCGTTTCGATAGTATTGTAAATAATGGTTTTGGTGAAGTAGTTGATAGAATAATTGAGGGCTCAAAAACTGGTATTGCTATTAACCCTAGGGCAGAAAAATTGACCGTTTCAGTAAAAGATTTCAAGTATCAAATTAAGACAATTCTCGATTCTGATGATAATAATCTGAAATTGATCCCTAGGATAAACCCGATTTATTTTGATCCTTTATCAGAGAAATATGAACGTCTCTATTTGAGGATGGGAAAGGTTACTTTGTTGGACAATAGTGTCAAAGAAGATTTATTAACAATCGAAGCCAGCTCTCCCAGTAATGATTTGATTTCCTTCACAAAGGCTTCTAATCAAAACCTTCAAAAGAAGTGGCAATTCATAACAGTTTGTGCAAATGAATCGATAGGTGAAATAATCAAAGTCCATGGCGTTGAGTTAATTAATGACTCTACCGAGGATGAATTCATTCTCTTTTCTTTGTACTCTAACGGAAACTTAACAGCTCAAGGGAGACATATTTATAAGTCAAAAAATGAACTAGTTGGAATTAATAGCAAGAGCCACATCATTGAGCTTAAATCTGTTACTAAAGGATCAACTATAGCAAGTGTAAAAGTATCTACGGATTATGTTGGCAAAGTTTTTAACTCCAATCCAGCTATTGATAACGTATTTCAATATGAAAAGCTTTTTGAAAAAGGAAGTGAAGGTCTTTCGCAATTAAACGCTTCGCTAAAGGCATTTACTGAGTTAGAATTACATCAGTTGGTGAAATATTTCAAGGAGTTATTAGTTAAATTGTTCTCTATTGTTGAAATATCAATGAATCAAGAACCATCTGACTCTACTGACGGGTTAAAATGGTCAACTTTTGTTGCCATTGTACACTTATTAGATGTTCTCTTTGGTAAACAAAGTCGATATTTATATTTGCTTGATCCTTTTATGGAAAAGCATATCCGTTTGCCGCCAGTTGGGGCCTATATTTTAGAATGCATATCTATTGTATTGTTTCAAGCAGAGAAAGTTTGGGATTCGAATTCGGAAGCATTATGCAGAGTCTCTCCCATACTCATGAAATTCGCAGTAATTTCAATGGATGGGGCTACAAATTTAGGAGAATATTTCAAATCTTTGATTCGAATGTCTAAGTCAGGTTCATATTTCCTTGCAATTGACTCCGAAGTATTTGTTACTAGTCAGGTTATAATTTTGGAAATCCTTGATGACGTGCTTTCTTGTAATCTTCATATTGGTGGTGTTGAAACTTTGAAATTCTTCGTTAACTATCTTGACTCAGTTGGAATTAGAGGTTTGGGTATTGATAAGGATATATATTCGACTGATCGAACAGTCACTACAGAAAAAGATCATAGAATTATTCTTAGTAAATTATTATTAATTTACCGTCTTTTTAATACTTTTGTTGTCAATGATGCTTCTTCGCGTAAGATTTTGATCTCTAAGGCAGTTGAATGGGCAATGGAGATTTTGCAAGGTCCAATAGATATCGAAGCTTCAAGACTCGCATGTGGTATATTGAACGCCGTTTGTTCGCTTTTATGGAAAACAGTTTTCGTGGAGGGGCATTTGGATGAAATGCCGTTGTGCTATTCTTTGAGTAAATTTCTACCAGCGATTTCAAGAGTTTTTATTAGGTACAATAAGTTTACTAGAGGTAACGAAAGTTTCAAGCCCAAAAAAACATTCAGTCCATTATTCCCGACCGAATATCCATTTAGGGAAATATCTGTTGATCCTGTCGTGGGCGAGGAAGTTTTAGTCGAGATTTTAGTGGAAATGGCAGTTGTATTTTGCTTCATTGCAAAGATCGGAAAAGAATCTGTTGAAGAGGCTGGTTATCAAAAGATTCTCAATACAGAAGTTGAAGGTGATTTCTTTGATTCTTCAAAATATCTAACCGATGAATTTGGAAGTAAAGACTTGGTCAATTTAATAAGTGCTGTAAATCTTATAAGACAAGGTAAATTTATACCAGAAAGCAAATGGTTATCTTTGAACTCTCTTTTTGTTGAAGGTTGCTTAGTTTCTTTGGAGCTCATAAAACCATTACTCCACGCATTTTATATTCCTGAGATTGACAATCAAGATAAATTCGAAAAGGTCCTTTGGGGTAATTATTTAAGATGCTTATTAAAGCTAGCTGTTGTTATACCTGTATCTATTGAATACTTATCAGACGGTCCAAAAAAGGCTTGTTATCAGATTACCGGCAATATTCGTGATAGAATCGCTCATATATTAATTGAGTCATGGGACCTTTTAGCTTGGAATTCCAAGGATGATGACTACGTAAGGTTCAATATTAAGCGATTTGGTGGCTACCAATTGAAATTCATAAATACAGAATATGATATAGTCCGAGACTTAATGTTGTTTGCCTTACAAAAGGATTCAGAATGCCAAGCAGTAGCAGTTAAAATATTATGGTCGATTATGGTATCTGAGTTTATTGGTAAGGACTCAATTGTTGATGTTGAAAGGGCGTGTCTTATTGGTTTACAAGATATCTTTTATAGGAATGGTTATAAACCAAGCTCAATTGAACAACAAAAATTTATCGATGGATTAAAGCTGGCAATCAGACTAGATGCTGAGGATGAAGCATTCAACGTTGTCTATACTTTTATAGAGACATTAGAAGGGTTTTTAAATGCATTGAACGAATTCAATTGCGTACCTTCTGGCTCAGAATTTGATGACGATAGATCATTTCATGAATTGAATATTAAAGCCTACTTGAAAAATGCTAATAAACCCGAATTGTTTGATTCATTCATTAATACTATGTATGAAGAAAACATCAAGAAAAAGGACTATATTCAAGCAGCTCTAAGTTTGGAATTGTTAGCTTCGACATATACTTGGGACGATCGGATAATTATCCCGGCAAGTTTGAAGCCTAAATTCCCTCAACAATCATCATTTGAAAGAAAAGAGACATTATTTAACATGATTGCCAAGAACTACATTAAGGGAAATAGTTTAGAAAGAGCTACTGACACCTACAATGAATTATTGGACACTTATAATTTGCATACGTATGATTTGAAAAGTTTTGCTAATGTACATGGTAAACTCGCAAAATTATATTTAGGTCTAGAGACTTCAGACAAATTAAGTCCCTCTTTCTTTAGAGTGGCTTTTATTGGCGCTGGTTTTCCAAAGAACATTAGAGGAAAGATACAAATATATGAGGGTCTACCATTTGAGCACATCATTTCTATTCATGAAAGATTGTTGAAGTTGTATCCTGGTGCAAGAATCATCACTGATGATACAGAAGCACAGAAATTGATGGAAAGAGCTCAAACCGGCCGTTACTTGCATGTCTGTACAGTTGAGCCTGTGAACGAGATATCTGATAAGCTTCTTAACGCATCTGTTGGTGCTAGGCAATATGCAAGGAACAAGGACTTACGATTTTTTACGTCCATGAAGAAATTACCTGGTGCTACATCTGTTTTTGATTTTTGGAGCGAAGAAACAACGTATGAGACGTTCCTTTCTTTCCCAACTTTAATGAAGAGGAGTGACATCAAAAAAACCAAGGTCGTTAAATTGTCACCTTTAGATAATGCTATTAGAACAGTCGTAATCAAGAACAATGATTTACTTCACTCAGAGAGTATGCTTACCAATGCGTTTAAAGAAAAGACTGAGTATGCTGGTTTGTTAGGAGATTTGTCTAGACTTCTTTCTGGTACGGTTGATTCTCCTGTCAACGGTGGGGTGGGTCAATATCGTAATTTTATCTATGATACTGAATACAGAGGTGACAAGCACCTTGCATCTCGCAAATTATTAGGCGATGCATTTAATGAATTGACCATGATTTTGAACAGATGTTTACATTTGCATGCGAAAATAGTTACACCTGATATGAAAGACTCTCATGAAGCCTTAGTTGATTTATACAAGAAGAATTTTGCGGAGGAAATCAAGAAGCTAAACATTTCAACCGACTACTCCACGGTTTACAATCGCAGCACACAACACACATCTCCGGGTGCTTCTCAAAATACAGCAGAGAGGCCATCTGTATCATCTGGCTCTGGTATGTCTGGTTCTACGTTTTCGGGTACTGGTTTGTCCGGTAGGTTTGTAGCTACTCCTTCCAAACAAGCTATTTCCGATAATGGCTCATCACCGAGTATATCAGGTCGTTCAAGTGTCTCCGCAAGTGGCTCGACTGTCAATGGTTCTTCCATTAGTGCATTCAGTAATTCAAGTAAACGTACAGCACTTAACTGGAGGAACATAGTCAGAAGGAATTAATACATAGCATGATATATACTAGTTATAGACTAAATTGAAAATTTGTATTGCATACTGCCTATTACATAAGCATTGGAAAATTTCACACTTCCACAGGAGGAATCTCAACTTAAGAGTAGAGTAATTTAATAAGTAACCTTATATTTATACCAACCGTACTATATTACAAGATGTTTAGATTAGCTGTCCGTGCTGCCCGTGCTCCAGTTGCTAGAGCTCCATTAGCTTCCAACTTCGTTAAGCCAATTCGTTTTTACGCAGTTGCCCCAATCACAAAAGAGGAAGTCACCACCCGTGCTTTCGAAGCTTTAAAAACCGTTGCTGCTTTACAAGAATCTAAGCTTTCCTTAGAAGCTTCTTTCCAAAAGGACTTAGGATTAGATTCCTTAGATACCGTCGAAGCTTTGGTTGCTTTAGAAGAAGAATTCGACTTGGAAATTCCAGACAAAATTTCCGACGACATCAAGACTGTTGGTGAAGCCGTCAACTACATCTATGAAGAAGAACAAAAATTATAAGAGTTTTGATGAACGAATAGCTGTTTGAAATATATTTCAATTATGTTTAACATTGTATATACTATTTCTTGATTGTTTTATTTCAATAGTTGCCAAGGTGAATACGTATAAATGTAATGCCTTTCACTATAGTTTAGACGTTGATATCGAGTTCATGATACGTATTGAAAATGCTGTAGTGTAGACTGACATCTCTGTAATAGCAAACCGTTGTATTCTTATTGGATGGTTTACTAATCCATATAAGCGTTTTGATCACGAGTGTGATTTTTTAACTTAGCAATAAGTCAACTTCAATTTAATTATATTTTAACCGTCAAATATTGAGCTAAAGATGGCAAGTAAGATAACGGAGAGTGATCCAAACGCTGTGAAAGATAATTCTGTAGCAGATTCCGAATTAGTTATAGAACAGGAGAATTTACTTTCTCATACTGAAGATGAGGGAGATGAAGATGAAGATGAAGAGAGTGACAAGAATGAACCTTTACCAGTGGAATACCCTGGTACTGTCTTACCAGATGAACATCCGCAACACATTGATGCCGACTCCGAATTGACGAAAGGCTATGATTCAGATACTGATTATTTAGATCTAATTCATATGAAGATTGGATCATTAGAAGACTTAAATTTGTCGAGATTCCATAGATTAGAGTCTTTATGTTTGAGACAGAACTTAATCACTTCAATCGTCGAAGTAAAGGATCTACCAGGCGAAACAATGCAAGAATTGGACTTTTATGACAACAGAATCAATCACATATCAAGCCAAATTAGTAAGCTTAAAAACTTGACAAATCTTGATCTTTCATTCAATAAAATCAAAAACATTAAGAATATAGAATCTTTGACGAAGCTCGAACACTTGTATTTTGTCCAGAATAAGATCAAAGAGATCAAGAATTTGGAAACTCTTCAAAACTTAAAGAATTTGGAATTAGGTGGAAATAAAATAGAAGTAATAAGTGAAACACTTGATAAACTAGTCAATTTACAACAATTATGGCTCGGTAAGAATAAGATTGAAAAATTAGAAAACATGACGAACTTGGTAAATTTAAGAGTCCTTTCAATACAGTCCAACAGAATTACTAAAATCGAAGGTTTAGAGAACTTGATCAATTTGGAAGAATTATACCTATCTCATAATGGGATCTCTAAGATTGAAAACTTGGATAAAAATACTAATTTACAGGTTTTGGATGTAACATCGAATAGACTTACAAGCCTTGATAATTTGAAGCATTTAACTAAATTAACTGATTTTTGGTGTTCGTATAACAAAATATCCAGTTTCGAAGAGATTGGCAGAGAATTAGGTAAGTTGCCTGAGTTAGATACTGTCTACTTTGAAGGCAATTTAGTTCAAACTCAAAACCCAACAGCTTATAGAAGAAAGATAAAGCTATATTTGGGCTCTAGCTTAGCTAAAATCGATGCCACCTATATCCGTGGCTAACGGTTATTTCATGAATTACGCCTGTATCACATTATAGATAAATAAATGAACTTGTCAAGTAGGATTTCTGGAAATTTATTACTATGCACAATTCGTAGCTTTGGTAATACCATCGATCATCTCTGTCGTTCTATCGATTCCGCGAAATTTCTAGATGTTTCACTTAGGCCATTTACAGCAAACCATACCTAATGTTAAAGTGACCTTATGAACACTCATGGAACTGAACTTTAGCTTAAGATTAATATGTTAATAGGAAACAATAATTTTAAAGAATATAAGATATGCTTTCATTTAACAAACAGTTTTAAACATAGCTTTTTCGACCATTTGTTTTTCAATCACGACAAAAATATTTCAAAGTCAGGAAGAATAATAATAAGTAGAGCTCGAACACAAGGTCTTACCTTTCTGTAAACAATATATATATATACAAGTTTATCGGTCGATCAACGGAGTTTAGTTTTAACTCCATCTCATTGAGAGCCGATAACCTTACTAAACATATAGGGTGGGTTTTGCATCAATATGGACTATTTATAATATTCACCTTTATCAACTATACAAGTGGTTAATTATCACCTGCGCTGAGAACTTCACAAATGCCAATTTTTCTTCTGATTTTTATTCACAATTAAAATTTATTGCTCATGATGAAAAGCTCATGTTCAATATCTCGAGGTAATGCTGCTGGTACCACACCAGTAGAAACTTGTACGTAAAGTGAAGAAATGCGACAAATACAGCGATGGTGATGGTATTTCAGAATTGAAATTAAAGACAAGAAGGAAATAAAAAAGATAAAGAACTGGTGGATTCAACTGTGTTGTTGACCTACGAACATTCTATAGTTTCTATGTTATAATATATTAATGTAGTAAAAATGAAAAATTGTAGAAATTCTCAAAATCCACAAATACAGAATTGTTGCAAGCCCACTTTTTTTTTGCAACTTATTTAATGTATACTAAAGCTTTAAAAGGAAATGTCTGTGTACCTTTGTATGCATTTACACCTACTATGAAGCTGATTATTGATCTAGAGGAAAATATGAGGCAATTTATTTGGCCACAGGTAGGTAAATATTTAGAGAAATTTCAGGCTTCACAGTCGAAGTCGTCACATCTAAGCATCTCTTATAATCCACTTGAATACGAAAGCATTTCTTCAAGTGAAAGTTTAGTTACATGCTCTGAAAGTTTTAGAAACATTGGGGACAATATGTTTATTGGAGAAGGAGATAATCTAAATACAGAGTTTAAAACCTGTTCTTCAAACGAATTGATCGTTGTAGGAGATGAGCTCGTGAGCATCATAAGTACTACCAATGACACAAATAGTTATAAGGACATTGATTTTTCTTGCATTTCTAGCCTTGAATTTCCATCATCAGAAATTGGCCCTTTCAAGCACAGTTCTAAAGAAGAATTAGAACCTTCAGCTCCATTATTTAATGATGAAATCGCAAGATTAATCGAGGATATGATACTGGTTCTTGAAGATCCTGGTAGATCCGTAGATAATCTTCCAGAAATCAAGGAACTAGAAAGAGATTTGGACTATCAAGAGGTGACAAAAGCACTCAGTATACCTTAATTAAATACTACAGTTAGCAATAAAATGCTCTATACTTATTAATAGAGATTTATTTCTATAGAGCACAACGCATTCGTTATATAGTTAATTTATAAATATCCATTATTTCAGTTGGCTAATCGAGTTTATTATCTTCGGAAGCATAATTATCCAACACAATCCTATAAATGAATGACGGAGAGAAACCACCAATATTAGTTATATAAATGTCTATGTGTTCTGGAGGCACATAGTCATCTAATGGATTAGTTACTACTTCAACGTTATCGATTAATTTGAAATCATCATAATTTAAAACTTTACCAGAATTTCCAACTTCAATTAAATCATCCCTATTGAATGGATATAATGGTGATATCTTATATAAACCAGCTACTGCAAACACTGGCGTTTTATGTTCCTTTGCACATTCAACGACATTAGAGACACCTGAAGCGGACATACAACCACCGTTAGCAAAGACAGCATTGGAGCCAACAATAACTTTACCAACACGAGACATGACAGCAAAAGTCGTGGTATCGGGTATTAATATGGTTTCAATTTTGTGGTCTGCTAAAGTCTTGACGAACTTGTGAGCTTGTTGAATATCGTTTGGATAATTTTCTGTAACCAAAACAGTAAACTTTCTTTTAGCTCTGGCCTTAATTAAAAATTGCAAAACAGTTTCAGAAGTTGGAGTGGGCGTTAACAAAATTTCGTTGTCGTGAATTAAATCAGCAGACATCGTTTCGATACCTTCATTAATATTGGAAATTTCATCGATTAAGTCTCTTATTCCTTGAATAATAATCGATCTTAAGTCACTGCTTTGTTTTTTCAGTTGTATCTGTTCTTTATTATCAGTGTGGTTATTGTTAGTTGATAATAAACTGAACATCGAATTCATCATTGGTGTATTCGTCGAATTTTCCGCATCTTCAGTTTCTATTTCATCTCTTATTAATGCTAATACTCTTCTTACAATGTTACCGGTAATAATTCCTCTTGGTTGAGCTTTATTAATTATGACCCCAACCTTCCTAATAACGGCAATTAAGTCGTACGGGTTAGTCCATCTAGCGGCCGATATAACTCTCATTAATAAATGTGATATAGCCAATGCAATATCTTTAGCACCACTGAATTGGTGGCGCTTCAACTGAGAAACCACAGGGTCTATTAAAGACAAAATCTCCGGAGTAACTGTGTTTGTCATTATAATATGCAAATTGAAGACTTTCACTGTCCCTAACAATCGTTCTTTACATCTATCTTCTAGTCCTCTTTGATTCATAAAAAAAAATCATAGAAGACATAATCACGTGATCAACTAAACTTAAGAGTAGACAACCAAATGCCTTTGGTACCCTTTCACCATGGTGACTTATAGAGAGTGCTACATCCAATGTCACGTTTCAATGATAGTTTAGACGAATGCTTGATTAAGCTATACGATTACTCCTCGAATTTCAATATAAGTATTGAGTTAATTCAAAAATTAGCACAACATTTGAAGTTAGATACATTTGTTGATAAAGATGCATATTCACATATTTTTGAGCCCACTAAGAGCTCTAATAAAATCAAATTTCAACGGCTATCAATAGCGGGATCGTTCATTTTAATAGATATAGATTTTACTGAAAAAAACAAGATTATAAATGTGTCATTGTCGTTAGCAAATCATAATGACGATGGTAGCGGGAATACACCCAGTTTTGATTTAAAGGATCATATAAAGATTGAAGAGAAAGACGAAAAAGGGAATATTTTGGTGAAGATTGACTCCACGGAAAACAGATTATCATTTTTAACTAAAGGCAACCATGAAACAGAAGCATCCGCTGAAAACATTTTACTTTCGAGTCTACAGGAAGAAAAATTGAGCAAGTTCCCTTTCAATTTGAAATTTCTAGCTACTTTGGATAAATTGTCATCCGCTGATGAAGATTTATTTCTGTATTTAGATAAGACGGCGTTGATCTTGAAAACCGCGTACTTGCTTGAAACTAAATACAACCATGATTGGTTGTATACCGATGGTCTTTATACCAGTATTGGCAAAATTTCAACAAACGATCCGGCTAATTCACAATTGGGCGTGTTTATTGATTTTTGGAAGGATTTTAGATACATCAACCACGAGTATATGTCTTCTGGCTCACACAAGCTCATCCTTGGTAATAGTTACAAAGGTTTATTAAATATTAAGGCATCCGATTCAACCCAGAATGATTACCTAATTCAAAGTAAAGACAGCGTCTGGAGACTAATTAGTAAAGACGGAGTAAAAGAAAGTTACAAACTTGCGTTCAATGATGATACACAATCCAAAGCGCTTTCTACAACAGCATCATCGATTAAAAGCTCGAACAAAAACAATTCAAACTGGATACTTTCATTGGACCTAAATTATCCAGTTTATGTACATTTACAGGCCCTTGAATTCCTTGGAATGACTAACTATAAAATGACTGATGAGAAGACGACTGACTCCGACCTATTCGGTAAGTTGAATGATAGTAATGAATACAATTATAATTCAAGTGTAAATAAAGATTCTCCTTCAAAATTGCGTATAGTGCAACATGCTTCACAAGAGTACATTCCGATTTCTTCAATATCGCTTAATTCTTTGATAGACTTGAGCCAGTTGATTCCGGTTTTACGTAATTATATCGTGCTTGCCAATTTACTCCGTACTTTGATCAAGGAAACAGCTCATAATCCTTCCATATTTGTTGGAGTAAATGGGGCCTTAAACAGGAGTGGTGAAATGTCTACAGAGACCAAGAATAGATTAAAAGCATCGCTTAAATTACCTGATGATGTAACCGATGAAGAATTGATGGGATTAAGTGCTGTAACAGAAAATAGTGCATTTTCAACCGCACAAATAAATAAGCCTAATATTGTTGATTTGAATTCTTTTATAAAAGGTGGTTTATCAGAAGCAGAAAGACCACTGACATCTACTGAAGATCTGTACATTCAGTTTTCGCTAGACGATATTGATTATTCTTCTCCTAATTATGATTTATTAATATCAATGGATGGGTTATTGGTAAACTCAAAAGGTGATCTCGTTGACTTTGAAGTTAAATTCAAAATACTGAATGGTGTTGTGTCTGAAATTAAAGCCGAAGATAAAGAAGATGTTGACATGGACGTAGATAATGAGCAGATGAATAAAAATGAAAAGTTCGTTCAAGGATTAAATTTCACTGAGGATATCATTAAAGTATTACAATACGTTTATTTAGATTAGGCAAATTACTAATATAATATTTACAATAGAAAGATATACTTTTCGTCACATCATAAAGTATATGAGTGGTTACTTAAATAGGTATGAATTTAGTAATCTAAAGTTTTACACCAATATGGATTGATGAAACACCAAAAGTCAAATTTTCATAACCCTTTTCAGGAATGTAAAAACCGGCCTTCTCAATCATATTTGAGAATTCCTCTTGCTTTGGAAATCTTCTAATACTTTCAACTAAATATTGATAAGATTCTCTGTCATTAGCAATTAATTGACCCATTAATGGTAACAATGAAAAAGAGTAAGCTTGGTAAGCGTAATCGAGAATAGGGTTGTCAACTTGAGAGAATTCAAGACATGCAAATATACCACCTGGTCTCAATACTCTGTAAGCAGTGTTAAGACCCGCCTGAATATCTGTAAAGTTTCTAATACCAAATGCAATAGTATATACGTCCTTAGAGTTGTCCTCAATGGCATCCATAGTTTCACCATTCTGAACCAAAAAGTTGACCCTGTCGGAACCATCATTCCATTTCAGTTCCTGAAATCTAATTTCTCCTTCGGCCAACATATCAGGGTTGATATCAGCCACTGTCATAGTTGATAATCTATCGTTGTATTTCTTTTCTGCATGCTCTAATAAACCAAAAGCAATGTCACCAGTACCACCAGCTACATCAAGGAAGTCCAATGGACGACTTGCACCGGGTCTCATACCAGCATCCAATCTGTTAATAAAATGGCTTTTCCATATCCTATGAATACCAAGAGACATAACATCATTCATAACATCATAATTTGAAGCGACAGAAGAAAAAACCCCTTTAACTAACTTCTCTTTATCATCTTTATTCACGGTTTTATAACCAAAATGCGTAGTTGAGTCTTGATTATTATTATTATCAGAATAACGTCTAATAGATACTCCCGCTTTAGTATACGCAACTAAAGGTTTCTCTAATCGACCAAACGACTTAGATACTAGTCTTAAGCTCATTTTATCGAAGTTATAGTGTGAAGAATACTACTTCAATTGGCACTAATATATTTTGATTTGTTTAGAAGGTATAGATATCTAAAATTTGATTCGCACACACAGGAAAACTTTTCTTACTTGAATGTTATATTAGTGAAGATAGATAATTACATATAGTATATAAAGCTCTATATCGATGAAAATTAAGCTTGGACAACTCTAACAGTGTTGGAGTGACCTGAACCTCTAGTCCACCCTTGAATAGTAACGATGGAGTCACCCTTCTTGATGATACCTAAATCAATAGCTTCAGAAACAGCCCATCTTAATCTGTTTTCGACATCTTCTTGCCAGTTGTCAACGGTCTTCTTTTCGTAGATAAATGGGTAGACACCTCTGTATAAGTGACAGTATCTAGCAGCTCTTTGGTTTCTTGTAACCATCATAACTGGGACATTTGGCTTGTATTTAGAAACCAATCTGGAGGTGAAACCAGAAGTAGATAAAACAACGATGGCCTTGGCATCTTGTTCGTAGGCAGCAGAGACAGCAGCCATGGCACAGGTTTCGGTGGTTGGTGTTGGTCTCTTAGCTAAGGATCTGATTTCGTTGTGTAAAGGTTGGTAAGCGATGGCCTTTTCAGCAATGATAGCAGTGTTGTGCATCATGGAGACAGCTTCAAATGGGTAGTTACCCTTGGCAGTTTCACCAGACAACATAACACAGTCAGCACCATCTAAGATGGCGTTACCAACATCAGAAACTTCGGCTCTGGTTGGTCTTGGGTTGTAAGTCATAGATTCCAACATTTGGGTAGCACAAATAACTGGCTTAGCAGCTAAGTTACATTTAGCAATCAATTGCTTTTGGACAACAAAGACTTGAGGAGCAGGAATTTCAATACCTAAATCACCTCTGGCAACCATGACACCATCAGTTTCAACTAAGATCTCGTCAAAGTTGTTAACACCTTGTTGATTTTCGATCTTAGCAATGATTTGAATGTCCTTACCTTCTTCACCTAAAACCTTACGGATTTCCTTGATATCGTCACCAGTTCTGATGAAAGAAGCGAAGATCATGTGAACACCGTTCTTGACACCGAATCTGATATCGGCCTTGTCCTTTTCGGATAAGGCTGGTAAATCAACATCGGTACCTGGTAAGTTAACACCCTTGTGGGAACAGATCTTACCAGCATTGACGGATCTAACCTTCAAGGTTTGATCGTCAACAATTTCCAATACTTCAAATGAAACAACACCATCGTCAATATATATGATTTTACCGGCTTCGATGACCTTGGTGATATTCTTGTAATCGATGAACATAGTCTTATCGTCACACTTCTTGGCATATGCTTCATCAGTAGTGAAGATCATTTCGTGGTTTGGTTGGATTGGGTAGTCCTTGTCGTCGATAGTAGTACCGGTTCTGATTTCTGGACCCTTGGTATCTAAAGCAATAGCTAATGGACGGCCCTTGTAGATTTCTTCCGATTGCTTAGCATTGTCAATCACAGATTGATGGTATTCGTACGATCCGTGCGAGAAGTTCATACGGACAATGTTTAAACCAGCTTTTCTCAATTTAACCAAAACATCAACGTTGTTGGTCTTTGGTCCAATGGTACCGATAATAGACGAACGACGTAAGACCTTGTCTGGAGTTTCACTAGTATTTAATTGGGTTAACCAAGATAATGATGCGTTAGACATTTCTAATGTAATATAATATTTTAATAAATTAATATATGCTTTCCTTCGAAATTAAAAGACTTGACCCCTTATATATATAAAATTTTTATTTATGTCTATAGGTGATGAAAATTTCTCCGGTTGATAGTGGGCCGTACCAAAAAAATTCCGGCCCTGCGACTAATCTTTTACGTGTTCTTCGATAACAAGCCTACAATGCAATCTAATTCTTCCCTAAACAACAAAATGCCCTTTATACACCTTCTATACCCCTGATACCTCGTTTATTACCAAATATTACACGCTGAGGACCCATGTGTGTTGAAAATTTGTCCATGTCATCGGCTCCTAGAAGAGTGCGAAATCTGAAATACGACGGAATACTACCTTGCGCCTTTGAGTGTATCTTTTACGTGGGTACCACAGACCCGTAGATAACGACCACATGTTTGAAGAGATATAGAAGAACATATAAACTCGTCAATGTCTTGGAAAAGCACCTACGTGTAGTGCCAGCAGATCGGCAAACAGAGTGGAAATGTGTCATGGAGCATCGAAGAAAGTCCGAACGCTTCGGAATCGGAGTAGCGGAGCTTGTTTGCGAGTAAGTCGCAATCTAATCTGCAATTAGTGCTTAGTGAGCCGAGCTAGCCCAGCGGGGCGGTTGAAGGAATAGACCTGCATATAAACGGTCGATATGGATTTGGGTTGATTTGCGAGGATTCTATATGGCAAAATGGGTGCAGAGGGTAGTATTTCTGAATAAAAACGAGAATAGCAGGATGGTATTGCCGATTGTGATAGGACTAGGGGCCACAGTGGCTGCCTTGACGGCCAAGTCAACGATATCTGCGTACCGGAAGTACTTGTTATTGACACCACAGATGATAGCGTCGTTGAATAACATTCGGTTGAACTCACCTTCGCCGACGACAGAAGGAGGAAAACTCCACCCCCACGACTCGATTCACCGGTTTTTGCGACAGAAGTACCCCCGGGCGGGATTCAACGATACGATGACGGAGCAGGAAGCGTTGATGATTATGGGAATCGAGGGCGATGAGATAATGCATATGGACAAAAAGCTACTTAAGGAGCGATACAGAAAGTTGATGGTGATGAACCATCCCGACAAGCTGGGAAGCCAGTATTTGAGTCAAAAAATCAACCAGGCGAAGGATATTTTAGACAAGAGCTATTTATTTAAAAAATGACTTTATAGAGCATACATTAATGATGAATATATACGTTTTACGACACCAATACGAGCAGAATGTAGGAAACTCAGTGGCCATTAGATGTGTCGATGTGGTTGCCGTTTTCGTCGACTATGCCGTCAATTCCATCTCCAATTAGTTCCTCTACTTTTTGAACAAACTCGGGAGGAATGCCTTGCGACGTGCCGTTGGCAACACCAGCGGTACCATTAGCCATGGCCTTCTCTTTGCCTCCCTCGAAGTTTTGTCTCACCCTTAAGTAGTGCTCTAATTCTTCGGCACTCACCGATGGAACAAGCTCACTTTGGGCTTTGTTGAAATCTTCCATTTGAACTAGCACCTCGATATCTTCTGGCTTTGAAGCATTATCAAACCACCACCTTGTAGATATTTCTTCTTTTTTTTTTTGGGCCTTCAACTCTTCGTTAAGTTTCTTGATCTTAGAATCCACTTCATTGGCAGTTCTGGTCATAGCATTTAACATCGAGTCAGAACACAAGGCATAGAAATCGGCACCTGTAAAGGTGAAAGAACACTTCTTGGCAATTTCATACAAGTCAACATCGTCGGCCAACTTGAATTTTCTAGTCAAAGCTTCTAAAATCTTGGATTGCTTTTCATCCGTATCTGAAATACCTAAGTATAACATTTTATCGAATCTTCCTGGTCTTAAAAGAGCTTCATCCAATAAATCAGGTCTATTAGTGGCACCCACTACGAAAACACCATCGCCTCCGCTTTCTCCACCACTCATACCATCTAATTCTGCTAATAATTGCGAAACAATTCTGTCCATAACCCCCCCAGAGTCACCTTGATTTCCTCTCTTTGGCGCAACAGAATCCAATTCATCAAAGAAAATAACACATGGCTTTGCATCCCGAGCTTTTTGGAAAACTCTTCTAACATTGGCTTCCGATTCACCAATATACATATTAAGCAATTCAGGACCCTTGACACTGAAGAAATTTAAAGAGAAATTAGTAGCGATAGCCTTTGCAAGCAACGTTTTACCAGTACCAGGAGGACCATAGAATAAGATACCACTTCTTTTCTTTAATCCATTGCTAAACAACTCTGGATGTTTTAATGGCATATCAATGGTATCCATAATTTCATCTTTGACTAAATCTAAACCTCCAATATCTTCCCATTTAACATTTGGAATACGTGGTGCCCCAATAGAATCACTAAATTGGTTACGCGCGTCATTGATAGCCTTGTTGAAGTCTTCTGGAATCCAAGTTACTAAACCACCATTACCGATTTTAATTAATTTTTCTAAAGAAATCCGACTTTCTTTAGCAAGGCCCATTAGTCTACTAATTGCTAACTGTTTTGCCTTTTTAATTATAGACATCAAGTCACGAGGTGTCAACCCTGCTGATTGTAGAGCTAAAGAAGAGAAGCTGACATCATGTCTTCTATTAAATGGTATAGTAGATAAATCAAACTGATCTTCAAATTCTTCCCTGTCCTCGAATGGTTCCGGGTTGCTTGAATTGATATGTTTGTGAGTTTCATTTTCTATTAAAAATTTGAAGACTTCCAACCGTTCCTTTTCATCGGGAACATTGAAATCAATTTGGAACTTAATTAACAGTCTTAAGTTTTCATTTAACTTATCCAAATCATTACAACTCATTATAATCATTAGATTTGAGTAATTATTGAGATAATCATTCAACGTTTGAATAACTTTCAAGGACAAAGAAGTCGTGATGTTTGCTCCTTGTTCATTTTGGTTACTTTGAGCGCATAGATTTTCAATATGCTTCAAATATATGACATGGTATGATGAGTCCTTATCTGTCGAATTTTCTTGTGCGCCAATTAATTTATCTATTTTTCCTGTGAGAAGACCAATTGTCTTCAATTCAGCTCCCGGATTAATCAAGTCAAAACAATCTAATTCTATTAAATTAAGACCCAATTCTGTGGAAAGGTTTCTTACTAACGTAGTTTTACCCAAACCTCTAGTCATAGAATTCAATAAGATTGTTGTTTTCAAATTAATTTTGGACTGAGAATTTAAGCATGTAGTTACAATTTTCTTGAATTCGCTTGCATATTTAAAACAAGTAGAGTCTGATTTAATGGTTTTGTTGAAGTTAAACAAAGGGGGTAATCTCAAGTATTGGTACCAATGAGTAAAGTCATTTGGTGGTAATTTAATAAATTCTACACCAGATGAAATCATTCTTGTTTTGGAAGGATCTATGATAAATTGGTTCGTTTCACTTTCATTCGATTCGCCACTAATGTCCACAATCTTAAACCATGCCACTTCATCTGGATCACCAGTTGGGATTACCCCCATGTCAGGCGCATTATCTTCTTCTCCAGGTTGTAATTGTTGATTCTGTTGTATGAAATTGCTGGTATCAAACATAGTTTTTGCTAACACTGTGTCGATAACCACAGGTACAAAATCACCTATTTTAACACATTTGAAATTATTATGAAATGTAGTTTTCAATTCAGAAAAGAAATGCTGTTGATAAGTCTTATCCATAGTGATATGAGAAGAAACCCTTGATATTGTTACCGATTTAGCAACAGGAAAGAAACTGGTAAATGGCTGATCTCTCTGTTTGATCGGCTCCAAGGTGACTTCACTACTGGAAGAAAGTCCTAAATTAGTAAGTAATATTGGAGATAAATAAAGGGTTCCCCTGCGAAAAGACTTATTAGGTTCAATAAATGTGAATAGCTTGACAGTTATTATATTGTTATTGTAGTTTAGTTTTACAGAATCTCCATTGAACACTGGAAACCCCAACTTTGGCAAATCCGCTGTATTGGCAAAGACAAATAATTCCGTATCTTCTTTTAGCCATATTGGGGGTAACATATCAATACTCATTTTCGCTGGAAGTGGTTCAACCTTTAACTTGACTGAGTGTATTGCTGGCGAATCAACTTGTAACGATGATGATAAATATGTAGACAAATCCAAATGTATTTCAGAATCAAAATCGTCTTCAATTTCATCAGCATTTACTAATTCTTTATCATTGTAGTCCAAGTCATCCTCGTCATTTTCCACAGTCTTAATAAGTACAATATTTGTGTTGTTGTCAACGATACCTTGAGAAACCGGTTCACTTAACTTAACCTCACCATTTATGGACCTAATAATATCACCCGTGCTGATAATAGAACCACTGTCCAACAAAAAAGTATTAATAAATTGATCACGAATTGAAGACAGTGGTTTATCATGCAAAATCAGATAAATATTCGGCGGAACAGAAACAAACAACGATTCTATTGTAGGAATGGACGAATAGTCAATTGACTGAATCACACAACTATTCAATGTTAATTGGTTGTCAAACCTGACCAAGTTAGAATGATTTATAAATATGACAGAATTGGATGTGGGGGCATTATGATCAATAGATGTAACTCGATAGATCTTGAATTCTTTAAAGTAATCAGGAGCACCTAGCAACTTAATCAAGACGAATTTATTTTCAGGTATACTATTTGAATCATCTGTACCAGTTCCGGGGAATAGACGTATAAATAGCTCAAACGATAATTGAATAGTATCGAACTGTTCACTTAAAGTAGGATCATTGACGAAAAGTACATTGGCCGTAGTTGAAATGGACTTATTTGTTTCATTCAAAGGCTTTTCTAATATTGCTGACGGCATTTTATATACACCTATATTCTTATACGGGAAAGTAGATTTTTGTCAATTTGACCTTTTATATATGTATAGTGTTATCTCTATACTAATCCACTCTTCAGTTATGCCTCGGGCTAAATTTTGCGGAGGTGGGGTGAGAATGAGACTTAATTACTGAAAAATTGCATTTACCTTACTTGTATAAACTACTTCAGAATATCGTATGAACCAATACATAATAGAATAAATAGTCATTTACTCATATATGTATATATGCTTTCTTACAGCCTTTTAGTAGGTTAATTTCTATTTCTCTATTTAATTCTGTCTGTAGTAATCTTTGCTAGCATGTGAGCTTGCGATGACTGACGTGAATGAATTAAGGATTAACATTAGTTTATAGGGGATCTTCCTTGCAGATCCCCTATTAGTATACTAGTAGACCTAGGTATTGGTATTTCAATCCTTGTATGGCAACAAGATCCCCCATAAGAACCCTAATCTGTTGACAGAACTTCGGTTACCCGCACTTTGATATTTTCCAGTTGGATCTATAATGGAATTTGAAGAGTACTTAGTTAGTTAAAAACAACTTCATTATTATAGAGGCAGTTCCGATAGTAGGAAGCGTACGTGTTACAGTATGTATTATTAAGACTAATGGCTCTGGATACAACCCGGATGCTTAAGAAACTTGAAAATAGATAGCTAGACCGTATGGTTTAGATGATGAAAACTTTTTTTTATTCATACCAATTATAGAGCTTTCTTGGAAATCGTAACCGTTTTGGTTGCACATGGTTTCTATTGCAATGATCTGGTATTTTTGTCATAGTTACACTGATTTATCTATCAAGTTTCCATTATTGTGTATTACGAATCAAAACTAACTAGTTTTTTTAGTATTTCTTTATTATGATAAATATGTCAATAAATACGTTTCTTTGAATTTCACCGTAGATAATTATAGAATGTAGATTACTAATGTGCTTGATAATATTAGATGTCGGATATGTTTAATAAAACGGTATGCCTGATAGCAAACAGAATAATGGAGAGCCTATGCTGGAGATCATCTTACTTCATACTCAATCATCGCTACAAGCCTTAAAGACGTAGAAACAATTAGTTTATTCAAGGAATCATGCAATACAATTCAACTCGCAGATATAGATTAAATTCCTTATTATACATCAACTATAAAAACCATTAAGACAAATTTTATTTATATATAGACTAATTAAAGAATTTAAGCTTCATCTTCATCAACAACAACGGTGTGTAAACCCTTGGTGGAAGCAACAGTGACTGGTTCGACTAAAGCAAATAACTTTTCCTTAGCATCTTCTTCGTCGTTTCTCTTTCTAGAGATTCTTAATCTCATTCTGTATTCGACACCTTGGACACCTCTCTTCCATAATTGGACGTTTAATTTAGGATCTAATCTAACATCAGTGGTACCCATGTGTAAAGTGGCGAACTTCTTGATTTCCTTGACAGCCTTTGGGGCTCTCTTCTTGAAATGAACACCGTGCAACTAGATATTTGTTAGTACTCAACATTCGAAATCTCTTTCCTATGAATGTACGTATTATGAACTAAATTAACCCCATTTCCTATTTATTATCAAGTTCTCCATATCTCTTCTCCTATGTACAAATTCTCTGCTTCATCGACTTTTTTTTCATTCCTTGAATTTCATTATTCACTTCTCCCCCTCTCAATTCTGGGTCTACGTAACGATCATATTACACCACTATATCATACGAATCAAATACGTTTCGTATAATCATATAATACCGTAGTTATCGTCCGTTTCTATCTAATATTGTTTCACATCCACTATATTCCTGGTTCATTTAATTCACAATACATATTCAAATTTCTCTTATTAAAACATACTCTCTTGTGTAAGTTGATGGTGTATTCACGGGTAACAACGTCTTGTAATGCCATTTTAACTATTGTTTATTCAGTTGATTAAAGGAACTTAACTGTTTCTGAACCTTTTAATTATGTATGATAATTTTTCACCAAAGTCTCTCGCACTGTACCGGTTCGTCATTGATGAGAAAATTTATCAAATCGCAGTCACAAAATTTAAAATTTGAAAAATTCACAGAAATAGTTTCACGTGTATACACGTAGGTCTGACACCTAACATTGGAACCATTCGTAATACTAGAGTATAGTATGTATTAATGCAGATGATAGAAGTCTTGTTACAAGGAAAGGGCCAAACAAACTATAAAAAAATCCGTTAGGTTAATTGGATAATGTGATATAGTAGATTGGGCATTATAGTATATAAAGAAGGTTAGTGCTTATGATTGGAACGATGCACTTTGTAGTTACTGCAAAAAGACTTGAAGTGTCAGTGTGCTTCGAGCAAGTAGAGGTAATAGATTAGACTTGTGTGTTTATTCTTATAAATTATTCTAATCCATATACCTTGTAAATGAATTTTCCCCAGTCATTGGTTAATTCATCGTAACATAATAATACATTACTGGAGACATCCTTAGGTTGGCGACTTAATTTGAACTCGTCATCTTTGGTCAAGGTATATCCGTGAACATTCGAGATATCCCACAACCCAATGGTTGAGCATATTATTCTTCCAGAGATATTACCCAGTAGGACTAATTGTACCAAATGCAGTATGGTTAAGGGACCTGGTGGCACCTTAGCCATGTCATCTGACGACGGGAGAGGCAGTATATGCGATAAGATATAAGACAAACTATTCATAGATAACTCGTACACATCGTCTTCAAACGCCTGTTGATAGTATTTGGTGATTATATCTGTCAACTTGTCCTTTTTTGCTCCATTCCGAACATGCACCATGATGAGAATAATCACCCATAGTAATGTCACGTTTGATAGATACTGTTTATAAGTATCAGAGAGTAGGCCCTGTTTCTTTTGTAACACTAATTCATATCGAATCGACTCCAAGTAATTGAGTAATGTATGATAATTTTTGGTGATGCATAGTATGACAATTATATCATAGCTTAAGTTGATCAATTTTAATTGTAAATCCAGTTTCTCTTCTTGAGCACCTGAAGATCTTAACCTTAGTTGATAGCATAATTTATAAAACTCGTTGACAAGACTCAAGTTCGGTATAGATCTCAATCTAAGGATCATCATTAATAGGCTATGTTCAATTACACCATTATTGTTCTTTGGTAACGGGTATATTGGCTGCAATCCAGGATTCGGGCTCGGTGTATTACCTGTTGCTGAATTCATGGAGCTTGTTCTACTATCATTGTTACTATTTGGACTTTGAGCCTGTTGCCCTTGTGTTGGGGCAATATTATTATTTTCATTCAAGTACAAGGCATTGTTTAAATTAATGGCTTCCTTCTTAGCAAAGGACAATTGATTATTGAATAAATGCAATATTAACCGAATTTCCCATATTTTCAAGATTTCCGATAACGATAACGAATTGTTCTTCAAGAGATAGTAAGTCAAATCTATAATCTCATTATATGATCGTTTGGATTTTATGCCTTCCAATAAATCTTCAACGCTGTACTTATCAAGGGGCACAGTAGGAAACTTCAAGAAAAGGGATTCTCTTGAAAGAAATTGTATATTATCTGTGTTCATATGTAGTATATTTGTCTATTGTGTTTAAAAGAGATATTCTTAATTTAGCGAGAATACAAATATCGGATCAATCTCCAGACAAAAATAACGCTTTAGGAACAACAGAAGAAATGCCGACACAAGACGTACCAAATGGTAATGAAGGACAACAGCCCAATCTGCATGGAAACCTTCTCCTACAAGCCAAGCATAATCAAAAGAGACATTTACAAGAGTCGTCACATTTATCACAGCAATTACATAGGACCCTCGCATCCTTGATACGAAGTAACTCAAATAATGGCAACGAATGCCCACCAGTTTTAGATAAAATTACCACGATTCATCAATTAGATCAAGAGATTGATAGACAATTAAAAGAAGATGTGTCTGTGAATTATGAAGCACTTTTGCATGATAAAAGAAATCTTACAAACCTTATAAACAAGAGTAATAGTAAATTGCAATTGCATACTTACGATGGTACGAATAAACAAACCAGTTCCGTAGATGAGTTTCAAAGAAGATCAGAATTGATTGACCAGGACTTGAGGATATTGGAATACACCTTAAAGCTCATTAAACTGAACAAGGATCCTACTAAATGATGTCATTAAACGACGTGCACACACACTCATATATTATATATAACTGTATATTATTATTATTACTATTATTATTACTATTATTATTACTATTATTATTATTATTATTATTATATTATAATATTCTTTTTATTATGAAGACAAATATAGTCGCTTTTATGCTAAACCTTTGGCAGCTCGTTCCCATCTTTCTTCGGAAATCCAACCAGCGTTAATGATCTTGATTAGATCACTCAAATTTATACGCTTGTCATTTTTTAAAAGCCTTCCTTTGTCAACTAAGTTATTATAAATGCGAACATACGAGTTTTTTGGAATATGTGCTATGGACAGCTGTTGCATGTGTTCTTTGGCTCTTAATTCTCCTTCAGAATCTGTCGCTAACCATTTGGAACGACGATATTCCCATAATGTTTCTCCAATGTTGATTTGGTTTCCTGTTTCACGCAAAGTAGACTTCGAAGTATCTGTAATGCTTCCTGATGAAGCTATCTGCTTTAATTGCAAAGCCAAATCTTCTCTCATCTTACAGATATCAACATCATGGTATGTAGCCAGTTTCAAACTATCATCATTTCCTTCCTCTTCCTCATCTGAATCGTTGCATGGAGTTTTTGATGAATTCGAGGTGTCTGAAATTTGCCGTATAATGTCTTGTAATGAAAGACCCTTAGTCTGACCATCAGAAACTGCAGTAGTAGATGATTTCACCTCCTCATGCATAGAATGATTCTTTTGTACGTATTCTTCATGCATTTTGTCTAGAGTCTTGTATTTCTTGAACTCTTTCAAAAACTTCTCTTCTGTTGATGCGTACCCTCTATTATTTCTTGCTAGTCTTTCGAGTGGATCGTCTATATCCGTATCAACAAATAGATCATCAACTACTTCGTCAGTTGTGAATACTTCTTCTGATAATGATCTTACTTTTAATCGCAATAAGTTCCACAGTATCGATATATTTTTGATAAAACTAGACACTTTTTTTTTGGGATGGGAACTTTTTCTGTCTGAGGGTGTAGTTCTGGTATGTAAAGTTGGCACTGATTTTGAATTCTTAAGAATAGATTTAGGTTGAAATGATGAATTCTCTGTTGACGTTTCTATGCTATTGATCATTAGAAGCTTATAGTTTTGTAAAGATACTTATAGTTTTATTAGTTGTTTTATGATGAAAACTCCCGATAAAAAATAGGTTTAGGAAATAGCACAAGCAATATATATAACTCAACGAATATCTATATTTTATATGCTCTACTGCATTTCAAATCAGTACCCTTATAGCTTAACTGTGATCAGGATAAGAACAAACAATTTTAACCATCAATATCGGGGAGATGAAATTTCGATGCAGGAGCAAAATTTTATCAACTAAAGTCTATTCCAAGACATATATTAATACATGATAACGAACTATACAAAATTAACTATTGTCAGTATTTAAATCCTTAATACTTTTTTCAGGGGTTTGCTTATCCAAGGTTTCGAACTTATGCTTGAGCTTTTTGTAATACGCAAAATTAAAGCTCCAGCCTTTTTTTGTCGATAATTCCTCTTTAGTTGTTTCTATATCTTCATATAATTCGGTTTGATATCTTTTAAATAACGTTTTATCACGTAAATAGCTCCCGTAGCCTTCCCACTTGACGTCATAGACCGCATATGACAATCCATTATGCTTATTGTAACGGATCCAAGGTTTCGAATTAATACCGTTCGCATAATATCCATGATATTCCGGTAATGGAGGTAACAACAAAATTGTCACAGACAAGTCGCCGTGTATCTCGCTAGCATCATTCTTAGCATCAAGAGGAGTTATAATATCGTCGGACGTCCATTTTTCATTCCACTCGGTCAAATCCACGTTTCCGCTGAAAAGACCTAAATGAGTAAGAACTAACAAAATATCAGAGTCATCGGTATATATACCGCTGGCACCACCCCATATTTGGCGTTTGAGGGGTATATTGCCATCATCTAGATCTTCCTTGAATAATTTAATAAACTTGTAAGGAATCTTAATTTCAAGCAAATAATTGATGTAGTCGTTTGAAAGCGGTGGAATCATAGGTATGTATTTAAAGTTATTTCTGAAATATTCTTCTTTAAGTTTATCTTCATAATCTTCCTTTAGTTGCTGAAAGCGTTCATGATGTTCAGGTTTTAATCCTGTCAACTGTGCAGTTTGTAACGTTGACCAAGTGGTTGTGGGATTGTACACTAATGTACCTAAGTTATGGCGGTGTGGGAAAAGCTCTTTTAATATTTCAAGCAACTGTGACTTGTCAATGCTAACTCGTTTAGATTTTATTCTTTGTGAACTCTTTGGCGCTATTTCAACCGCATTCTCACTGGATTCAGTGATATCATTAGCTATTTGAGAGTCATTTGTCTTGTCTTCATCATGTTGTTCTGGCTGATTTTTCTCAAGGTTCGGTACCTGCTCATTGCCGTCCGCCTTTCTTGAATTGAATTCCGATTTCTCTGTTGTAATATCCTCCTCTTTTTTAATCTCATGAGAACGATGTGGATCTATTCTGTTCTCTGAATTTTGTGTTACATCTCTTTGTTTCGCTTCTGGTGTATCTTCTTCACCTCTTGCCAAAGCTTGAACATGGTTTCCATCATGTATATGTGGAATGCCATTTGGCGACGACTCACCAGGAGAATTGCGATGTACATGATGATGATGGTGATGATGGTGATGGTGATGAGGATTCGTATGGGTATGTGGAAGAATGTCCGACGGAGTATTGTGTGCTTGATTATTATGTGCATGATGAAACGAATTGGAAAACGCTCGGGACTGTTGTTCTGAACCTCTATCGTGAACTTTTGTTTCGTTAATAGGAGTGACTTGCGCATTTGGTGACATGTTAGCAGCATTATAAAGACCTAGCAATGCCGATTTTTGAGTATTTTTGTTATGAGAATGCAGCTCCGCGTTAGCATCTTCTAATTTAGCTTTTTTATTTGCGTGTTCATCATTAGGATCTGGCGATTGACTCGAATAGCTTCCCGAATGATGTGACAAATATGAAGATATTCCCATATTCGAAGCGGAGGGTAATTTGTTATGTGGTCTCCCATGTCCGGATAAAAAAGAGATTGGTGGAAGCTTTATGTCTGAGCCAGAGCCGGAACCATGACGTGATCCAGAATCAGCATTTAATTTAGAGTCATCCGAAGACATATCGATTGATTACCAATAGCTGATCCTCTTCGATGGTGTATATGTATATAACAAATGTTTTACGTGAGAGATTGTACACCTCCATAATACAACAATAGCGATGGTGAGGTTTGGACTACATGTTTGTGTAGTGCACGCATTATCATACTATTATTCACTTTCTATGTACAGCTTATATTTCAAATAGTATCTATCTGCTCTCTTTGATAACAACCATAATGTGCTATCTGTTTATCTTTACCAACACTCAATACGCTATAGCCCAATTTTCTATTACAAATAGTGCATAATTGCTTTCCACTTTCAACCGTATACCCTTCGCTTTGAATTGTTTGCAATTTATCTTGTAATTTGGTTGAACCAACTTTGTATAATTGACTAGCTACGTTAGTATCGTGAACAGAATCCATCGAGGATCGTAGTTGTTGACTGAGAAATTTCTCTAATTTATAAAGGGGGAATGAGTTAGGTAAACTAGTCAAAATACGAAGGATTGACATTTTAGACCCTTGGGTATACAATAATTTCTCGATGGAGGATATATTCTCGCTTGTGTGTTGTAATAGATCGTCAAGTAACTTATGTAATAATCTTTCACCAGTTTGTTTGTTGTGTGGTTGGTAATAGACATCAGAACAGTATTTCATGGCCGAGTCCAAATCTTCTAGCTGATTGAAGAGAACATCGATGGCTTTGTCGTGTTCACCTAATCTCTTGTAAATGTATGTTGTTAACCGAAGAAACATATCTTCTGTTTTCGGAATAGCGTTTAAAACCGTCCAAGGCTCATATAGAGTCGTGTTTTTAAGCATGTCACTCAATTTAATATAATACTGGGAAGCTGCGAAGTCCTCGTCTTCAGATTGTATTTCTATAATCTTTTTCAAATATAATAAACATAATTTTGTATGAAATTTCAGTACAGTCTTATTTGGTTCAGCTTTTTTCAATATTTCACTTTCAAATAATAACCATTCTAGATATCGTACGGCTATAGAGTCATTTTTTATAGTGTTTACAAGGAATTCAAGAACCTTGTAATGATCATAACTTTCACATTCATATGAATCATTCATAAATATTAATTCAGCATCTTTAAATGCGGTCTCGTCATTTTCTTTGATAACCCATTCCGCAAATTCAAAAATTAAAGCTAAATCACCCCCATTGAGCTTTTGAAGATATTGAACAGTTAATGCAGGTCCCCTTAAAAATTCATCAAAGTCGTCATTGTGGTCGTTCGTATTTTCATGAGCTAATTTATAAAGCATTTCTAAGGCATCTTTGTGTAAACCACGTCCATAGTAAAAATCAAGTAATTCCTTAATAAATGATGGCTCTTTGCTGTGTTGATGCAAATTAGCTAATAAGCATTTATGAACAATTTTCGTATCACATTTATTATTCGGCAACCTTAACAATGGTCCTAGAAGCATTGGCTTAGTATAATAATAACATAAAAATAATGCTGTATCTATAATTGAAACTATTTGATTTAGTTGGTTCTCTAGATTATCAGGATCCAAAGATGGATAAATATCGTATGGTGTTATATCAATACCCTTCCATTTAATCGAAGGAGTTGAATCAGAATCACTATTGAAAAAGTTTGCATGAATTCTTCTTTGTTCGGTAAAATAGATTATCAAATTACTCACAGCTTTATTGAATTTTCTAATATTAGTCGACTTTGAATGCTCAGGAACTGATTTGGATCCCTTAAGTGACTCCGTCGATGTTCTCTCAAAATTTGGCGATTCTGCCAAGTCATAATCTGTAGCAGAATCGGCAGTTGTCGTATGCCCTAATGATGTAGACAGAATATCCTCCAATGATATTTTATTAACAACATTTGATGAAGGTTCATGAGAAGTATTCTTAGCTGCAACATCATTTATTTGCTTTTCAGCATTAAGAAAGTCAGGAAATAAAGGAAGGATATCCTTGTATGATACAATCCAATCAGAAGCAATCTCAACTAAAGCCTCATGATACTTAGAGTATGATTCAAACAATATTAAAGCCTTCGATTTATATAAATCTCTAAGCAATAATTGTTTATTCTTCTCATTTGATCCGTTATTCTTATTAAAAAATTCATTCTCATTATTCAATCTCGAGACTAAGGAGATTGACTTTGTAATCCCTAGTAGCTTTAAATCAGAATTAATATCTCTAATATTTCTTTTAAACCCTGTAGGTTCCTTGTAGTTTAAATATTGATGTACTTGCTTTTGGTAATCAAGAATGCTGAAATGCAATAAGTCTAAGCCAGAACCCAAAAATATATCATTACCTGAATAATATCCTGATATATAATTTGAGTTAATATTATGTTGAAATTTCTGGATTAAATCTCCACTTTGAATATCTATAATTTCCATTCTTTTATTATAGACAACCAAAAGGTAACATGGACCAAAGCATGCTACAAATAACGGAATCAGCAGAAATTTAACGGGAGTATTTACAACTGCTGACGATTCTCCCTCAATATTTAATTTTGCTGCTTGTGTATCCTTTATTAATAATACTTCTTCATTACTCACTGATATAATACGTATTTCCGGGCCAGTTTTAGATAATCCAAAGTAACTGAATGATGTGGTATGCATAAAATTTCCTAGATTCATCTCATCAAATGGAACAGAATATATCTTGAAGTTGTTTTCTAAATCAACTATTAAGAAATCACTTAAAAGCCCTATGATAACTTGGTTTCTATTAATTTGGGGTAAAAGATGTAAGGCTTTTATTTTATCTTTAAGAATAATCTCCTCAAGCTTCTGCAACAGAAATATATTACGTGATTTACGCTTTAATTCATAGATGGTAAGTGTCTTCTTTGCCGCTGTTATTAGCAATGTTTGTTGTCCCATACGAACACTTATATAGTCGACGTAGCCCTTGGGATCCTCCACTTCCTCAATTAGGTTTAAGCTTGTACCTACAAATTCATAAATCCTTATTAAGTTCAGGTTAGATATTATTAATGTATATCTTTCCTTATCGTTGGTATTTGATGCATTTGAAATGATATGAATTCTGTCTATAGCGGTATTATTACCAGTAGTATTTTTAAAAGAAGTTTCTAAATTAAATATATGCAATTGATCATTATTATTGAAAAGGGACTTGGTATCATTAAAGGACTTCGTTTGCCTTATATTATCTGGATAATCAGAGGGTTCTTCTTTAGATGGTTTTATAGAATATACTTTTAAATCCCCCTCAGTTAAACCTAAGAATAACTTATCATTGAAACGATTGACCGCAGAAATTTTCTGATTTGCCTGTAGATGAAGCCATGTTAATGGCCTTATCACATTTATATTCATAATTGAAGTATCTTCCTAGATTTTACTCGCCATTATATTCTTGATATGTAAATATGCTAGGATTTAGATAAATAGCGAGTACTATTTTCATGACACAAATTCAACTACTGGTATTCTATTATGATGATACTTACGTACATATATATATATATTCTATGATACTAAACAGTTGACAAGAAATTAATGACAGCGGAAGAGTATTTTACTAATTCGTCCATTCTATCCTTGCCATCGTTATTTAATGTACTCCATTCTTCGAGGGCATTTTGTAAACCTTCTTCATCTTTAAAGTTGTGAACAACATCACCATGAGTTTTTAAGAATAATGAAAAAATTGCTTGGTATAAGTCATAATTATCATTATTACGCATTCCTTGACATAAGGCCAGGATGAAATTGGCCATCTCAGTTAATGGTGGGAATGAATTCAAAGTCCTAATTTCAAGGTCGGTAGTAGATGGAGGAGCATTGATCAAGTATTTCAAGAACAAAGAATAGTCATTTTCTTCGCTACCTTCTCTAAGCAACTTAGTAAACTTAGACTCAAAGGAATGACTGCCATTAGACTTCAATTTATGTAATTTTGAACTAGATTCGTCCTCTTCATCAAGAGAGGTAGACCCTTTCGCACTACCCTCTGCTTCAGCTACAGAAGCCCTATCACCAACAGCCTCTCCAGATAAAGACAAAAAGAATGGAGCATTCTCTGGCTTTTTTGGTGCTTCCTTTGGTTTATTACGTTGTCTGATAGTGTCTAAATGCAACAATGTATTATACTTTTCTCGCGGACCCAATGATAAAGTAACCAAAGATTCATCAATTTGATCTAAGGAAGAATATGTTTCCGATGCCTCCGTGACATCAGAGTCATCTTCATTTAATGCTCCATCTAAAACAGTTGAACCGCCGTCACCTGATGCATTTGGTAAAAGCATAGTTGAAAACTCGTCTTCTTCGATATGTCTAGTAGAAATTGGTCTGAATTGTGCTCTATTGGTCCACAATGAAATACCGTTTCCAGATACATGGGTTGTGGCTAACATATCACCAATTGGTGAGAATTTTACAGTAGTTGCAACGTTAGGCAATCTAACACCATCAATACAACCACCTGTCGGTAAATCCCAAGTCCTTAAAGTAGCATCTAAAGCAACAGAAACAATCCATCTACCGTCAGGCGAAAAGTCCATACCTGTTATACGATTAGTATGACCGTATAATACTCTGACGACCTTTTGAGTCACGACATCAATAATGACTATAGATAAGTCGTCCAATGCACATGCAATTAAATCTGAAGACTTGTGATAAATCATCGAAGTAATAGGTGCCTCCAATTGTAATTTACCTAAATATTTCAGTTGAGTAAAATCGTAAAATCCAACTATTCCATCTAACCCACTACTAACCATTTTTCGGTTCATACCGTCGATTGCAAGACCAGTAACCGCTTTATTACGGTGTAAAATGTACTTTTTACGCAACATTCCTGATTGTAAATTATATACACCAATCCCCCCTAATGCAGAACCGACTAAACCAAAATTACCACAATGAGAAATACACACTGACTTAACAATTCCTCCGTCAATAGTCAGTAAATTATGACTACCAACTCTTTTATTTTTTGAGTCCCATGTTCTGGCAAATGTATCTTCTTTATGGGCAGTCAAAATATTTTCCCATTCACCTTCCCTAGCTTGAGACGAGGTAATTGATATGATTTCAGGGAATTTTTCTCTCATGCTTGAAACTGGACCTGCTTGTCTCTTCCCATTGCTCGACTTTACAGGTCTTTGAGATAACTCTTGAGATTGTGCATCCTTTCTTAAAGAGAATGACCAGAATGATCTATCTCTCGAGGCACTCAATATGAAATGGGATTTGTCTTCGTTAGGAAATTCAATTGCAACCGGTGGTGCAGAATGTCCTCCTCTTGACCTTAAATGACGTGGAGGGGAAACGATCGACGAGTTGGATGCTGATAAGCTTGGGTCAAATACATATTCTTTTAAATGGTTATCACCACCGTTGGTAACTACAATTGGTTGACCATTTAAGAATTTAGCATTTGCAACACCACCATGTGCTTCTTTATGTGCGTTTCTTAAAATGTGAACACGAGAACCTTTAGCTAAATCATAAAAGAATAAATCACCGTTGTTTAAACCTGCAACTATGTGCGGGGATCCATCAGTTCTAAATGACAAGGAGACAACTTTAGCAACAGCATCTTGACTTGCAGCAACAATTTTAGAACCCAAAATCTTGCCCTTCTTTAAGTTGTATAAAAAGACGCTTCCAACGGTTGTTCCGATTGCAATAACGTCTAAAACAGGAGCTGACTCTATACATGAAATATTTTCAATAAATTGTTGATCTGGTGACTTATATAACAATTTACCGGTACGAATGTTGAAAATTAAAATATGACCAGTTGTAGCCACAACAATTTTATTCAAATAGGTAGGAGGATGAATCAATCCCACTATATCTCCATCAATACTGCTGTTTATGGACTTTAAAGTGGTGTATAACTCGGTAGCTATTTTAGATCCTGCTGGCTTTTTGAGTACAAATACTTCACTCTCAGATGAAGTTGCTATAAGATACTCACCGAAAACTAACACCTTAGTTATAGTACCATTTGTAGGACATGTCAAAGTATGTTCTAATCTACCTCTTTTATAAATTCCAATCGAGTTACCATATGCCGCAAATACATAATGGTAATGGGCAGTTAATGTTGTAATCCTAGAAGGAGTCTGCGATTGGGAAACGAATAATAAATGCAAAGTAGCAGCATCGTAGATTTGAAATGACCTCCCAACTGAAGTAACTATGTAGAATGTAGATCCTAATGTACCAATGGCAAAGGGTATATCATTAGAAACATTCCCGATAATTCTGAAAGGACTGTAGATTTTTGATGGTTTTGGAGCAGATTTTGAGCTTGAACCGTTACTCGATGTAAGAGCTTCATCGAGCTTTCTTCTTTTATCCACAGGTTCCACCATAATACAATATTTGTTTGTATTAAAATGCTTAAACTTACTAGGTTCTATATTCATTTAAAGGTATGATTCGAAAATTTTTTTGGTACTAAATCGATAACCTGTATATAATTAGGGAAGAGATGAGTTCTACCAAGATGTACTTATACTGAAGTGAATTATACTACATTAACAAATATATATGTGTCACCGTGGGTTAAAGGGTGTTTAATGTATAAGAGTAATATGCGTAGTTCCACATTTGTAGGCAATATAGTAATCTGTTGTCTATATATGTAGAAAACACAGATTTTGATGTAAGAGCGGGATGCAAAATTAATTTTTCACAGAAAAAAAGTTGAAAAATCAGTCTACTTCTTATCACTAATATCTCATAAATAATGTCCAATATTCCTGAGAAGAGAGCATCCGAGCAACCGGAAGACCCAGAAACAAAGAAGGCTCATATTGAACCTAGACATGATCACTTTGCTAAGGGAATTGCCCCAATCAAGGCTGAATACATTGTTGAAAACCCAGATGTACCAGTAGATGAAAAATACGTTAACGATGATGAAGCTGAAGGGGGAGATAGACAGCAAGAAGAAAGTGGAAAAGGAGGTAGAAATAAGAAGAGAAGAGGGCAAAACAAGAAGCGTGATTTGAAACAACAACATGAAGAAGTCAGATTATGCTCCACTTTGTTAGATCCAGAAAACCCTAAAGAGTGTAGATTTGGAGCAGAGAACTGCCGTAATTCGCATAATGTTGAGGAATATATTGCATCTAAACCAGAAGATATCGAGGGTAACTGCCCAGTCTATACTGCTATTGGGTATTGTCCAGCTGGTTTGAAGTGTAGGTGGTTGCATTCACATTACAACAAAGAGACCCACCGATTACTCAAAGATCTTGAACAAGTAGAGAAAGCAAAGGCTTTGAATAATTATGAAGTTAATAAGATTACAGCGGATCAAAAGACCAGCTTACAAAAAAAGAAATATACATTTGAATATGCATCTCAGATGATTCCATATTTAGATTCTTTGGTTCAAAACGAAGCAAATATCGAAAAGGCTCAAGAAGAAGCTAAGGATAATCAATCCACTTTTGTTGAAGCTCCATTCAAAGTTGCAGAAAAGAAGAAATTGAATTTACGTAATGCTAAGATTGTTTCACCATTAACTACTGTCGGTAATCTTCCATACCGTCGTCTTATGAAGACTTTGGGTGCTGATGTTACGTATTCAGAAATGGCATTATCAGTACCTCTCTTGCAAGGTACTAATGCCGAGTGGGCGTTACCAAAAGCTCACAGAACTGAATTTCCAGGATATGGGGTTCAAATTGCTACTTCTAAGCATTGGGCTGCTGCCAAAGCGGCCGAAGCTATTTATAAGGAGACAACCAATGTCTCTGAATTGAATTTAAATTGTGGTTGCCCAATTGATTTACTTTACCGTCAAGGCCAAGGGTCAGCTTTGATGGAACAACCAGCTCGTTTATTGCGTATATTGAAGGGAATGAATGCATGCTCTGGTGATATTCCAGTCACGGTTAAAATCAGAACCGGTACAAAGGAAAATAAGAATACTGCCAAAGCTTTAGTTGAGCGTATCTTGAGCGAAAATGAGGTTGCAGCCATTACTTTGCATGGTCGTTCAAGACAACAACGTTACACCAAAGAGGCAGATTGGTCATATGTCCAAGACGTTGCGACCGTAGTACAAGATTGGAATAACAAGAAGGAAGATAATAAGGAATTGAGAGACACGCAACCAACATACTTTGTTGGTAATGGTGATGTCTACACGCACGAGGATTGGTATAACGCCGTCAATACCCCAGGAGTTGATTCAGTTATGGTTGCTCGTGGTGCATTAATCAAGCCATGGATTTTTGAAGAGGTGGAAGCACAACAATACTTAGATAAGTCATCTTCAGAAAGATTAGAAATGATAGGTCAATTCGCTAAGTTTGCCATTGAGCATTGGGGTTCTGATGATTATGGTGTCGGATTAGCCAGAAGATTCATGTGTGAATTCTTAGGATTTACTCATAGATATATTCCTGTTGGAATCTTAGAAAGATTACCACCAAAGTTAAACCAAAGACCTCCGCAATGGAAAGGTAGAGATGAACTTGAGACTCTTTTAGGATCCACGGACTACAAGGATTGGATTAAGATTACCGAAATGTTTTTAGGTAAGGCGGGTCCAAACTTTCAATTCGTTCCAAAACATAAGAGTAATGCCTACGAAAAATCTTAGTTATAAATAAATAGATTCCTATATATTTGGTGTTTATAAAATTTGCAATTCAAATCTTGTAAATATAAAGTAAATATACACTATTTGTGGTTTAAATCTCTGTTTTTTTAAGCCTTCCTAGATTTAGCTTCGCCAGAAACACTTTCGTAGTCCTTGGATAAACCTTGAGCTTGTTCTTTCAAAGTTTCTAAAGCTTCTTCCTTGTTAGCCAATTCCTTCTTTAATTGAGCAACTTCTTCAGAGTCTGAGCCTTCTGTCAATTCACCATTGGCCTTGATGCTATCCAATTTGTCCTTGGTGAGAACCAATTCAGACACTAAGGAATAAGTTCTGGTTAAGATTAAAGTTAAGAATAACGTGAATCCGCAAAGATACATGTTTCTTTGTGCATAGAACCTTCTAGCTTGAACTTCTGATCTGTCATTCAAAATACCACTACTTGGGCCTGCTTGATTGCTTGGAGAGGATGCATGCAATTCGGTGGTAACTGAATAGACTCTGTTTACAGAGTCTATAAATAAAACCAACACGAACCCCAACACACACTTTATCGCAATCTGGAATTGTTCATTTCGGAATGGTGCCGAAACAGTTGAAAGAACTGATCTTCTCACCCTTCTTGGAAATGGTAACGATAAGAAGGTGAAAAATGTCATTTCAACGATTAATAAACCGAAAACTAAATTGTAATATAACGCCATTTTTGCTGTTTTAAACTTTATAATATATTTCTGATTCTGAAGTATTTACTGTTTATCAAACTATACAAATCTGAATCAATTGACTGTCAAACTAACAGTTTTCTTTTCATATTTATAGTGAAGTTGATCGCAAGACGTAATGGACCGCAATGAAATGAGCGCCGCACGTGATTTATGTTCCAAGGTTGCTCTTAAGTTTAATAGAATAGATTATTGTGTGTATGGATGTATACATATATATATATATTTCAATATGCCAATGTGTAATTAAATGTAGTGCATTATATTGGAAAACGCATTCAATGAGTCTTTAAGACAGCTTAAAATCCCAAAGAGACTTTGAGCGTGAAAGTCACCAAAAATGGTAAAGTGATGAACAAAATTGCATACTGAAAGATCAAGCAAACGGCTAAACAATCCATTTGTAGGTGATCATCTGAATTGGGATCAGTGTAAAATGCAGTGAAATATACTAAAGCGGTTGCACTTGGAAGACCAAACTCTAATACGCTGACAAAACGAATTAATTTGTCATCACCGTACCAACCACCTTTATAGAATCCAGTAGTTAGTCCTACGCCTATGATTGGTAGTATAATTAACCGTGAGACAGTAACTGCCACCGCGGTTTTCCAGAAACCTTTGGGCATCTTCTTGACTTGCAATCTGGAAATTGTAGCCCCTAATAAAAGCAAGCCTAGAGGCACAGATGCTGCACCAACATAACTGGCAATATCCATAATAAAAGACAAAGGAGGTTGACTATCGGGGGCATTGGGCATATAGAAATTGTTCGGTACAAAAAGAGCCTTCAATGGAGGTGACATGGCTATCGCTATAGATACGATTAACGAAACCGAGTTAGGAGCAGCAAAGTCCTTTAGCGTTTCAATCAGCATCATTTTAAACTTCGCCCATTTGGTCCGTTTCTCACTTTTTACTTCGCTAATTGGGAGTGTTAAATTCGTCGAGCCAACACTTCCAGTACTGGAAATTCTTCTTATTTCTTGGTTTTTCCATTCTTCATATTCTGAATATTCATTGATAACATCGCCAATATCTTCTGATTTTTGACGTCTTATAGCACTGGATCTAGAAGGCTGCAAGTAGAGTGAGTGATGATTGGTGGATATAGATCCCTGTCCATTTGATCCTCTCCGAGAGCGTACTTGCGATGCAGATGCTTCGGAACCAGAAGAAATTGTGGATTTTGGGTTAGATTGTAATGCATGTAATTCGTACTGTTTTAAGAATTCATTGTGCTGATCATTTACATTTTCCCGATCTTGGTCTGAAGTAGAATGCCTTTTTCTATGATTCTTTTCTTTATTATTCTTGTGAATTGAATTAAAAGAGAAGGAAGAGGCTATTGAAGTATCATCAACAGCATCTTCACTAACACGACCGCTGCTATCGAATCGTTCTTGAACGACATCTTCATTGCTGATATTCGTACATGATTCTATGTTTTTCTCCTCTTCCTCTTCTTTCAAAAGCTCTTCCCTGAAATCCCACTCTATTAATCGGTAAAGTCCTAAGCTAAATTGATAAAATACCTGTGCCGCTAAGAAAATGCAAACATATGCCACTCCCTTATCACCCTCTTTCTCTGAAAATATCTTTCCTCCGTTAGATAAAGTCTGTAAGTATGCAATAGGTAAATCAGATATATTTGGAAATAACCCCACAGAAAGTAATCCCCCAAGCCATCTTTTGGGCGATTTTGTAACAATCTTATTCAAAATTGATAACCCTACACCGATAATAAACAATAATGTACCTGTAAAGAAAATTATTCCCAAACTTTTTATGTCTGAACTTTTCAAATTTGTGACAACGTTATTAAAAATTAAACACGGCATGATCGCTGTAACAATACAGTCAGAAATATCTCGACATGTAGTTACAGTCAAAATATTCCTTCTTGCGAGATAATACCCTAATGCAATAATGAAATATATCTTGAAGATAGGCTTCACCGCAGAATAGATGATCGTACCCAATGGGGTAGATCCAACTTCGCTTGACATTCTTAATGACTTTTTTTGTTAAATAAACAATACACCTTCGATATGTCTTATTGTATTTCTTATATCTTAAATCTATATAAAAAAGCTTATGTCTATATGAGTTAAGGGCATTAGAAGAGTGGAAGAAACCCCGGCTTAATTAATTAAAAGGGTATTTTTTTTTTTCTTAGTCATAATTAACGCTATATACATCCATACACCAAATAACGTGTTCACCTGTGACGACACTACAGATATCAACTAGTGCTATTATTTATTGGATACATAGTATATCAACAAAGAAAGGAAGAAGAAAATATTTAAAGGGTATCATATTATCATTTTATAAATGCTCGAAAATTATTAAGAAGCGGTGAAGAAGTTAAAATTATGCAAATTTGTTTAGTTAACATTAATGTACGATATGGGTCTGGTTTCAGATTTGGAATGAATTGCAACTATATTGATAACCTCATCAACTTCGAAGATTATATTTGACTTTCCATTTTCATCAATATCTAATTCACTGAGAAATAAGTCCAAATCATCAATGCTTTCGAGGTCAAGACCAAACTCATCTAAAATCGGGTGTTGATCGTCTTCAAGAATTCCCTCATGAGAGAAAATGGATTCATTAGAGGATTTTTCAGAGTCGTCATTTCTGTATTCAAATGAGCTGCTGTCCAGCACTGAACATGGCGAGGCTGAAATATTTTGCTTGGGATGAAAATCACTTATATTCATATTCTTCCTAACTGGCCTTCTGGGCGACCTCTCTGGTATTGGGATGTCTTCTGTATTTTGGTTCAATTTCGTTGCTTCTATTAATGGAACATTTTTATAAGTATTCTCTCCTTTTCCCTCCATATCGATGCCTGAAGAACTATCATAAAGCAAATAATCCTGAAATTCTATATTATTTAATAATTGAGCTGTTGAGCTTGCTGCAGATATGTTTTTTCCTATGATTGTAGTCATGTTTGGAAAATTGGGTACTCTATATTCTTGAATCGAACTAGCAAAATTTATCACTAGTATTATAAGGCAGTTCAGAAACTATAACGACTTTCACCAAGATACTACCCTATTTTTATATCTTTACTTAGCAATAATATTGAAAAACAGACTTTTTTTTTGCTGGCTATGGCCATAATTGGAATCATTCCTTTTTAAATATAATTTGCAATTAAGCTGGAGATGTTTCTTGCAGAACTTCCCTATTCGGATAAGTAACACAAAACCACGTCTCAGCTAATAAGATTACTGCTTTTGATCAAACACCCAGAGTAACTACACCGTGTCTCCTCTATATCTTAACGTGTAGGATCAGTATATATAACAATTACTCTCGTTATCACTGTATGCTTTATTCTCAGTATACCTAAGACCTGACATTATGTTACACATTAAAAAAGATTCAAAATTAGAGATGGTGCTGGCCAAGGCTTATAATAGTAAGTAGTGAATAGTGTGGATTTATATTGTTTGATATATAATAGTAAAAACAAGCACCATTTAAGCTAATTAGCCTTCTGTTTATTGTTTGATGTTGTCAGGCAATAAATAATTGAATAACGGCAGGTAAGATTGCAACTGAGAAACGCATCCTTTACAATCTACAGAGACGACGCATAGGTTAACTTTAAACTTAAATATATTACAATAGAACGTATTTATTCATTTTTTGGCTTCTTCTGAGGAGGTTCTTGGTTAGAGTCGCTCATTTCTGCATCCGAATCGGAGGCATCTGAATCAAACTCTTCAGCAACATCCGAATCAGAACCAGAATTAAAGTCATCATCGGCACTTTCGTCATCATCATCTCCAGCACTACCCATATCCACATCCGCATCGTCATCATCGTCTGCGGTTTCATTCATAGCTTTGGCCAACATTGCCTTGGCCAACTTCTCTTCGTTCTTAATTCTCAATCCTTTTTGTAAACAATAGTTTTCTATGGTTTCTTGTTCTTCTCTTTCAATACTACCGAAATTATGCGATTGATTCGATCCTCTTAAAGTGATATCCAAGTCAAATGTACGTGAAGTCGAAACTCCGCCAGCACCTGTACGAGACATGGTTATACTGCTGATCTCGGAAAACGGGATGTAAACTGTAGGCTTGGTAACAAACAAGAAGCATCTATCTAATGGATATAAGTACCCCTCAGAAGCCTTCAAAGAACAAGATATACCCGGTTGTAAAAATCTTGACTGGAATGATCCGGGAACAACCAATCTACGTTCTGTCAATCCCTTAAAACAATGAGACATGACAAGATGTGTCTGGGCGTCATAACTCTTCTTCAATCTATCTTTATATTTATTGTTGTATTCTTCTTCCGAAACATTCAAATCCAACTCAATTTCTTCTTCTTTAGCAAATTGCATCACTAAGAAGGGGTATTTTGTTTGACCTTGTCTTAATGGTGGATCAATTTGAAGAACAAGTAAATGGTGGGTTTCGTCTGGCTTGGGAAGTGAGAAAATTCTCTCGATTTGCTTGTATTGGATTTTGTAATCATATGTCTTACCACGTAATCTTAATGATGTAGGGTACATATCGATATCGTAACGACCTCTAGGCGTCAAGAATAATACGTCACTGAAAGATACGATAGCCTCACCAGCAACTTGCCCAATATCAGCCTTATCCTTTAATTGTTCGTAAAATACGGTAGCAGCACTGATTTCTTCAGTTTCTTCCTCCTTTACTTCACCATTCTCTTCTTTAACAGCAGGAGCAGTCTCGTTTTCCAATGTTCCTGGAATGTAGAATCTCATTTCAACCATTTCATCTCCCGCTTTGCTGTTGGCACCATCCAAATTGAATTCAACGGCAACCTCATTCTTACCAGTCAAATTGGAATTACTGATCTCAGAGTACGGAATCTCGAAATCTGGTTTATTGTTGATTTGGAAAATCAATTCATTTCTAGCCAAATCAGTCTTACCCCAATTCCAACCTCTCAACGAATGTTCTTTATGTTCTAAATTTACTTGGAAATTTCTTTGTAATTCCTGCTTCAAGTTGGCAAAGTCTTCCACATCAAAACCATCCAACATCACCACACCCTTATTCTTTGTCTGAACTCTCAACTCGTATCCACGAGATCCACGAGACCATTGTGATGCTAATATTTCCTCTGATGGCAACAAAAATGGGGCGTTATTGCTTGCTGATGCATTGTTGGTTACAGACGCTTTCCAACCCAACCCTGAGTCTGCAATACGCATACGACCATAATTTTTCGATTGATTCAAGTGAATCTTCTCAAAATCTGTATTAACCATACTACAACTAATATATGTACCTGAATTAGCCCTCACGGAATACCAAACAGTCTTCTCTTCATGATGCTTTCAAAGCGTTACACGCGTTCTCATGGAAAACTTCGCGACATTTCAAACTTCGCGACATTATTCACGACATGATTTTTCACCTTACATATTCCATATCCTATACAAGTACATATCGACGATAGAAAGCAATAAAAGGTGCATAACTTCCTTGGGTCCACCAGGATATGATACTGATTTTCAATTACATTTTGTATCTTTTCCTCCATTTTGCAGCTTATGTATCTCTAGTTTGAACAGAAGATCTTGCTCTTTTATCTCAATAAGCATCAGTTTAGTAAATCTTTTTTTAGCCATTATGCCACTTCAGCAGTATCATCAAGTATGCCAGTTGTAGAGTAACATCGTCCCAGCATTTCCTACAGGTATATCAGTACATTTCACTGTAGAAAGCGTTCAGCCAAGTTGATTCGCAATCGCAGCATTTTTCTTTTTCCAACCGAAAATTGAATGATTCATAACCTTTGAGATAAAAAAGATGATTCATCGACGTTTATGTTTAATTTTTCAAACAAATTTAAGTGTTTATATCTATTAAAAAAACATTAAATATGGCGTTAAAGAAAGCAGGTGTTTTAGGAGCCACTGGTTCTGTTGGTCAACGTTTTATTTTACTTTTGGCCAACCATCCTGAATTTGAAATTCATGCATTAGGTGCTTCGGGTCGTTCAGCTGGTAGGAACTATAAGGACGCAGTTACATGGAAACAAACTGAATTGCTTCCAGAATCCGCTAAAAACATCAAGGTAGAAGAATGTAAGCCAGATGGGTCATTTGCTGAATGTGACGTTGTGTTTTCGGGATTGGATGCTGACTTTGCTGGGCAAATCGAAAAGGACTTTGTTGAAGCGGGCTTGGTTGTCATTTCAAACGCCAAAAACTACAGAAGAGAGGCAGATGTACCATTAATTGTGCCAATTGTTAATCCAGAACATTTGTCGGTTGTTGAAAAGAAGGTTGAAGATGCCAAGGCTAATGGTAAGACCAAACAAGGATTTATCATTTGTATTTCTAATTGTTCGACTGCAGGGTTAGTTGCACCATTGAAGCCTTTGGTTGATGCTTACGGTCCAATTGAATTATTAACATCTACTACTTTACAGGCTATTTCTGGTGGTGGTTTCTCTCCAGGTATTCCAGGTATTGATGTTTTGGACAATATTGTTCCATTCATTAGTGGTGAGGAAGAAAAGATAGAATGGGAAACCAAAAAGATTTTGGGAGGTATTAATGATAAGGGAACAGAATTCAAGATCTTATCTGATGACGACATTAAAGTGAGTGCTCAATGTAATCGTGTTGCTGTCAGTGATGGTCACACCGAGTGTATCTCTTTGAAGTTCGCCAACAGACCACCTCCATCCCTTGAACAAATCAAGCAAACTTTAAGAGATTATGTCTGTGATGCCTCGAAGTTGGGTTGTCACTCAGCTCCAAAACAAACCATCCATGTTTTAGAAGAACAAGACAGACCACAACCTAGATTGGACAGAGATAGAGACAGCGGTTATGGTGTTTCTGTTGGTAGAATTAGAGAGGATCCTGTCTTAGATTATAAGATGGTCGTCTTATCTCACAACACCATTATTGGTGCTGCTGGAGCTGGTATATTAATTGCCGAAATTTTGTTAGCCAAGAATATCATCTAGACAATCGCTTTAATATACTCTTATATATAATATCAATATAATGAATTTCATACTAATACTTTGTAAAACCCTATGATTTTTCCAATTTATGAAGTATGTAAGAACCACCTAGTATACTATCATGTCTTATATTTTCTAAATATCAATTAACTCATAAGCACTACAAAATAATAGAACAAAATTTTGACAATTTCCTTCCGCTAGACCTTTTCAGACTGCCTAATATTCAACTTGTAGATTATAATAGTTGTAAGCTTCCATCATGTAGAAGTTTTGGGTCGTGCGAATTCTTGAATTTTGATCGCTACCAAATCTCAACAGTTCATTGAAATATGTACTGATTTATACTATCATTTGTAATTGAATTCAACGGGTTTCATTGTTCTTCATTCTCTAATTAGATTGCATCTTCATTACTGTCATTAAATTCAAAACGTATTTGAAAAATGTCAGCGTTTGGAGGTAATTCAAATATGAGTAATTCCAATCTGGATCCACCTAGGAATAATCTGAAGCATGCTAATGGATATGGAGATCCCAGGAGGAATGGCAACATGACGAATAAGAAGAAGTATACAAAGCCCAATGGACCTTTCAATAATAATAATAATAATAATGGGAATAATAATAACAAGAGAATGGGTAGTAATCAAGATAAAAAGAGAAACAATGCATATATTCATAATAAGAAAGGAGGAAGCAAACCACCTGGAAATAGACCAGAATCGAACGTTCTGATTCAATCTGATCCGTTAGATATACCAAAAAAGGTAATACCTCGTCAAAAGCCAGATAAGGTTCAGCAATATACACCTAATGAGATTACTTCAACTGGCCCATTAATTTTCAATCCAGAACAGCTAGGGTTTAATCGAAATCATAAATCAATAACACCACGTTCAATCCCGAAGTACCTTTTGCATCAGCCACGGTTGTTAGTAACTCCATCGTTTTCACAAGACGCATGGGACAAACAAAACCAAGAGAAGATGCTCTCTATGGAAGAACAAAATAGTGGTAGTGATTATCAAGGCTTATATGAAGAGTTTCAAAAAATGAGAGAAGCAGAAAGGAAACAGATGGAGACTTTAGGATTAGTTGATGCGGAAAATATAAGTAAAGACTTGACAGATGCTATTTCCTTTCAAGGTTCATGCTTGGACATGTGCCCGATTTTTGAAAGAGTAAGGAGAGCTTTAGAGAAAAATGTTAAGGCTTTAGAAAAAGATCCACATACTAATAAAATCTCCAGGACTAGAGCAATTAAGGCTTTTTCAAGACCTGCTGCTGGCCAGCCTCCACCTTTACCATCTGAAGTTAGACCTCCGCATATATTGAAGCAAACACTAGACTATTTAATTGAAAATATTGTGCCACAATTGCCAGAAGCTCATTCGTTTATTTGGGATAGGACAAGATCTATAAGACAAGATTTTACATATCAAAATTTCTTCGGTCCTGAGGCAATTGATTGTAATGAACGAATTGTTAGGATTCACTTAGTTTCATTACATATTATGGCTGGAAGCGATGTTGAATATTCACAACAACAGGAACTAGAACAGTTCAATAAAGCTTTACAAACCTTAATTGAAATATACCAAGATGTCAGAAATCATGGAGGTAGGGCACCTAATGAAGCAGAGTTTAGATCATATTATTTATTAAGTCATATAAGGGACCCTGAATTAGAGCGGGAGATTCAGGAATTGCCTAACGATATATTGAGCAATAAACACGTTCAATTGGCTTTAATGTTCAGAAATATGGCATCTCAAAATAACATAGTTGAAAGGGGATATCACAACTCTATTGGAGCCTTGAATTTATTCCTGGAATTTTTTAAAATTGCTTTCAGTCCTGAAACACCATTTCTTATGTCGTGCTTACTAGAAACTCAATTCAATGAAATTAGATTTTATGCATTAAAGTCAATGTCTAGATGTTATCATACTAGGGGTAAAGCTTACTCAGCTGAATCATTACAGAACTTTTTAGGTTTTGATTCCTTAGATAAGTTACTCAAATTTGTACAATACTATGAAATTGACATATTATATGATGGTGGTGTTGCATTAATTGATTTGTTTAATAAAGAAAAATTGGAAACTAAGTATAAGTTGAATTCTGTTCATGACAAACCTAAGTTAGCACCACCATATTCTACTCAAATAGATTTGAATATTCAAGGTAAAAGCTTGATTTCATTCATTAACTGTGGAGAATCAACTTATGATTTGGGGCTTAAACAGTCGGATCAACTTAAAGTTATTGAATTGCCAAGTCTCAATGAATCAATTCCGAAACCATCTGTACCATTTAATTCGACAGGATTTTCTACAAGTAACCATCAACTTGGTGCTGCGAATAAAGAATCAAAATCATTATCGCTAACTGATTTTTTGAACTCATCGACAAACAGAAATAGCGATGCTAAGCCTGTATTCCTGCAACCTTCTAATACTCAGACTAAACCTGAAGTAATATCCAACAAAATAGCAACACCCCAAATCTCGTTTGGCTCACAAAATAATCAAATGCCTCAGATGAACGTTAAGCCTTCATTCGTATTCAATGCTCCAATTATGAAACCGGAACAACCACAGCAAACGCCACCTCCGTCTACGTTTAGTTTTGAATCATCTGCAAGTTCAACAACGTTACCCTCATCTAATAATAAATTGACTAATTCATTTAATAAGAACATTTCATCGGATACAATTCCTAAATTTGGAGGAGTAAATGCTTTACAAATAACTCAACCCAAGGAGATATCAAAACCTATTATATCCAAGGAAAATGAAAGCCCTATTGCATCGATTATGTCGAAACCAATTGAAAAACCTAAGCCTATGCCAACGAAGCTTGTTAACTTAAAGCAGTTCCCTCGTGCATTGAACGAGGTGTATTCTGAGATATTACAAAATACAATTAATACTGAACTTCATAGGTTATTGCCTAAATTGATTAGAGCTGAGAATTCTTCACAAGAACGCAATAGAGTAATAAAATCATTGAGCAATGAATTATATCAAGCATTCATGTCTGAGATTATCTACAAAACTACATTGGAAGTTAAAGCTGATAACTTCCTTAAGAATTCTCTCAAATTAAGAACAATAAAAAAATTAATCAAAGTAGGATCGAATCTTAAAATAAAGCACGAGATGAAACGTAAAAAAATTAATGAATTACATGAAACTTCATTTAACAATTTCAATAAGAAGAGAAAGTCTTCTAGCACAAGCTTGAAATCATTAACAGCATCATCAAGTAAAAAAAGACACATATGGGATGCAGATGACAGTGTTAATTATATAGACGAAAAGCAGAATGAAATTAGAGAACTTTGGAAGCCTATTGATTTAAAAAAATTCATTGAAAGTTGTTCTAGAGATTTAAAGATGAACATTGAGATGAAAGAAATTGAACTCAAATTTTTACTAATAGTCGAAGATTGGTCATCACTGTATTCCAAATGGTTAAACACGAAGTTGTCCTTGAAAATTAATAAAGAAAGGTTGATTTATGAGAACATTGTTACAAATAACAAATTAGCAATTAACTTTACTAGTTTACCAAATAATGATTACTTGAATAAAGATTTCTTCACAAATACGTCATTTTTATTGTTTGAGTGTGGTTTTGTTGACGAATCTCAGGTCAAGAAATTTGGCACCATCCAAGATAAGTTAAAAAGAGATCAGCTTGTGATTAACAAGATTATAAATTTGAGTAACAAATATAGTTATTATAAAATGCAAATTTTAGTTGTATTTTGGGACATTGAACAGTCGAAGGTGAGTTCAGATGAAGTGTCCGCTATATTGAATATTTCATCTCATGTTAAGAATGAAAGCATTCTCGATATAACATTATGCGATATGACTAGAAACGATACGAGTATAAATGAAGTTTTACTCGATGCATTTTCAAAAATTAGTACCAACTTTAAAGGCGAACTTACTAGAAGGGGACTCAAAAAGAAGGAAAGAGTTATTAAAGCCAAGGAGGTCAATAAACATCAGTCTGTTGGAAAAAAGGAGAACGTCACGGACGAAACCTTCAAAGCGGCAGAAAATGAGGCTTTGAGCAAAGCAAAATTGAGTAAAAGATATCAGTACTTATCGAAGCATTTGGGATCCAATACATCAGTGTCCAATATGTCCAATGTATCTAACAATTCAAATAGCTCCTTCATGACTGCAAACAATATTACAATTCCCAACCTAGCATACCCTATGAACTCTACATTCTTGAATTTGAATACCACTGGCAACAACACAACCATATACAATGGTAATGAGTCAATATTGACCGGATTCGGCAATGGAGTTCTAGAAGAGAGCACACCTTTCAGCTCACCGAAGGCAAAACCTTTTACCAAGCCAAATGTACAAAATATTCCTAGGAAGCTCCAGCAATTGCGTGATTTGACTGCCGGAATCAAGGCAAGGTATAAAAAGAAATAGCCAAATCACACGATAGAACGATATCGGTTGCAACTACCTGCAATCTACATTCTGTAATAATAGTTACTGTATCATAGCATAATAAAAATTAGTATAATATTGTATAAACCTAACATAACAAACATAACGTAATAAATTAATTAATATATAAATGTCTTACCAACAAAGACCGTATCTGTATAAACCCAACCCCCAATATCGAATGACGAAAAAAACCGATGCAAAAAAAAAAATGAGTAACTGATAGGAGAATTCGACTCCTATCTCGGAGTCATATTGACCAACCATTTCCGATAGTTGGATTGTATCAACTCGTTACTATTTATGATAGAGTTATCGGTATTCTCTTCTGACTTTCCGAACATTTCTAATGCATAATTAGACAATGTGACGTCTCTAGGTTGGCTATTATTTATCACACTGTAGTCATTATTGCCTATCGCATAATTATGTCCGTTGCAGGCTTCATTGGGTTCGTGGTGAGTCTGGCAAAACCAGCACTCATACAACAAGTGATCTTCCGACTCGGAAGCAACGCTTAATGGAGATCCAACTGGACTCTCGTAGTAGATATTGTTATCTATGTCTTGATCTCGACATTCATCACAACAGTAAAGGGATCCAGGTATGACTGGATTTCCATGTGCCATGCAGTAATCTTGAAACATCTTTGGTATAATATAATGTTAATTTGGATTAGTATAGTAAATCTATAATAATGTCTTTAAAAATTTATAATAATAATGATTTGATAAGGATGTAGTATGCTTAAAACATGGGACTAATTGTCTATTTATATTTTGCAACTGAAAAATTGTGGTTCACTTGTATAGCGGATTGTGAAAATGACTCAAATAAAAATTCTCGGTGAATCACCACTATTATTATAATGGTTATACAATAGGAGCACGTAAAAACCACACTATATATACTTTAGTGGTTATTTTTGTGGAACACAGTTTTTTTTTTTAATATTCTTACAAGATGACTATTCATTCATTTTTCATCTTTGATAGGCATTGCAATTGCATCTACAACCGAGAATATTCTCACGAGCCAAATGATAATGGCACCATAAATAAGAATAATCAATCGGATGGGGCCAAATTGCTATTTGGTATGCTATATTCATTGAAAAATATGGCATCGAAGCTAGGAGATGGTGATATGAACAACTTGTTGAAGTCATTTAGTACTTCCAAGTACAGAACACATTTTATGGAATCTGCTACGGGGTTGAAATTTGTGATTATTTCGGATACGTCGATAGATAACCTCCAGAACGTGTTGTGGGAGTTGTATTCTAATTACTACGTGAAAAACATCGCGTTTAACAGTTTGAGTGCCGTTGATTTCAAAGAGGAGGAGAAAATCAGCAATAGTAACTTTATTGTGGAAACAGACAAGTTCTTGCAGTCATTGGCAGTCTTTCAATGAAGCCACGCTGGTTTCGGTGGTGTTTATTTGTTGTGGGTGTTGAAAAGAAACTGTTGTTCGATTGCCTTCATAGATGGTGACTTTTGGCCACATTGAGCCACACTTTATAAAGCTTTAAAATAAATACAGACCGTGATCCACCCTGCCTAAGATGGGTCACGGTCATTACTGGGGTATACAATAACATAGCAATTGTCTCGCTAGGTCTGAGAATCGTGGTTGATGGAAGCTAGCATCCTTTACACCCCTTTACACAATTTAGCGGTTTTTAAACCCCGTCGCGTGATTTGTCCCACAACGTGTATATATCTTGGTCTTTCATGAGCCATATTGAATTACAGTGTCCCTTCGATGTCAATGGAAGCACGTACATCTTGCGTTTATCGTCTCGAAATTTGTGGAAATGAAGTTATAACTAGAATATATTGTGGAATTCGAAAATGGAAACGAAATCATTTAGTTCTTCCGAGCTATAAATTGTATAGTAATATACTTAAGCATATCTTTATAAGTCCATTGTATATTGTAGCGGTATTAAACGTATAAGAAGGCTTATATAAATAAAATCTTCTTACCTCGGGCATCTCCATGCTCCATGAGATTAGAGACAGAGCGCATCGCACGGCGCAACGTTTTTATACTTACTTATCGTGAATACTAAGAGTCATACTAAGTAACTTTCTTTCTGTGTACATATAAAGGCATAAATTCGGTTCATTACCACTTTGATAGATTCTGGTGAAATAGAAGTCCTTAGAATTAATAGAATACGCATGAAATGGATCCCCGACCAATTTATTTCAAGACAACCTTACATGAAATATTGTTTGTATTTGTCATATGTATGGCTCAACTCTTGGCCCAAGGAGGTATAACCATGGCATTAACTCCCATGAATATAATTCTCGATTCCTTTACAAAAGACTCCGATTCAATAGAAAGTTCAGAAAGGGTTTGGTTTATGGGTTCATATGCGCTAACTGTGGGTACATTTATATTAATCTCGGGTAGATTGGGAGATTTATTTGGTTTAAGACGGATGTTGCTAGTCGGTTGGGCGTGGATTGTAGTCTGGGCAATAGTAACTGGTCTTTCATATTATAGCCATTCAGTCATATTTTTCATTATCTGCAGAGCATTCCAGGGTATAGGGTTTGCTCTTATCTTGCCTTGCGCTTTGGGTATATTGGGTAACATTTACCCAATAGGTGATAGAAAGAACTTAGCATTTGGCTGTGTTGGTGCATCTGGGCCTATTGGTGCCACACTTGGGGCTATATTTGCAGCCATACTTGCTCAGCTAGCATGGTGGCCATGGGTATTTTGGATATTGGGGATAGTGGCCTGTATTTTGGGTATTGCATCTTTCTTTATCATTCCAAACAACATCTCAAATGTAAATAGTAAGCTTGGTAGAAAAGAAAAATTAAAGAGAATGGATATTTTGGGTTCTACAGTCGGTATAATCAGTCTAGTATTATTCAACTTTGTCTGGAATCAGGGTCCAGTTGAAGGTTGGGGTACAGCCTACATTATTGTACTTTTAATTGTATCTTCAATTGGAATAGTATTATTTTTCTACATTGAATTAAAAGTTGCTGAATATCCATTATTACCAAAGTCAATATTCAATTTCAAAATTGGTCTTTTATTGCTGTGTATCAGCTTTGGCTGGGGATCATTTGGTATTTGGCAATATTATTATTGGAGTATTGTATTAAACTTGAGACACTACACGCCAATTGCAGCTGGTTTGACCTATATCCCATTTTTTGTATTGGGTATCATTGCAGCTCTTTCTGTTTCTGTCTTGATTTCCAAAATTAAACCCTCATACATTATCTGTTTTGCTTCTGTGGCCTTCATGTGTGGATGCATTATGTTGTCCATTATGCCAATTGACCAGTCGTACTTTCAAATCTCTATGGGCCAAATGTTTTTGCTAGCTTGGGGTATGGATCTAAGCTACCCTGCTGCAGCCTTGATTTTGTCAGATTTCTTACCCCTTCATCATCAAGGGATGGCTGGTTCGTTGGTCGCAACGGTCGTTAATTATTCAGTTTCATTGTTCCTAGGAATTGCAAGTACTGTGGAAATAGAAACTATGAAGCATCATCATAACACGCTAAAAAGTTATAGAGCCGCGATTTACATGGGCATTGGCGTGGCCTTCCTCGGAGTTTTATTCGCTATTATTTTCATAATTGCTCAGCATGCAAAAAGGGACCCTGACCCTGAAGTCACTGTGGTTAAGGAGCTTTCTGTCAGTGATATCGATTCAAATTTGAAAGAAGTAAAACAACCACTTGATATATAGATATAATTTTGCAATAATTACTTAATTGAATTTTGTAGCTGGCGTGCGATTACCAATATGATTGTATTGAAAATTAATACTATACCGACCATAGCATATTTCAATATACATCAATCAATCTAATATAAGGTACAATTGTAAAGCACTAGGAGGTGTCTAAGAAGGTGTTTTTTGTAAATATTATTGCTTCTGTACGTTCACCTAAATTATAAGTTCAAATTATTCGTGGCACAAGGTTATTAATATATAATCAAACAAGTAAGACATATATATATCTAAGGGTAACTAAATTAGATTCATATAAAGATGTCGACCACGTCCACGCCTGCCGAAGCGTTGGCGCCCAAGTCGAGTAAAAGAATCGAGTTGGAGACACTTATAAGAGAATTTCAGACTAAACTTGGCTCTGACTGGGATAAATATCACGAATCGTTGAGTTTATTTTTGGTTGGAAAACTATCACGTCCAGAATTAATACAGAATATCACACCAATTTTAAAGAGTGGTTTAAGAAAGTATCATAACAAGTTATTACTTTTGAACTTTTCAAATTCGTTGAAGGATGGTCCTTTAGATTTTCAAAGTGAATTTGCATCATTCTGGAATAAGAAAGCAAATAAAACTAAGAACATTCGATCAAGTCAATATGAAAAGTTCAAGCAAAACATTATGGGTTTGCCAGTTAAGGAAAGAAGAAGAATTAAAAATATCACTAGAGAAAGCGGTAAAAAGGGTAAGCTAAACGCATCAATAACGTTAACAAGACATGCATTACTACCAAAGATTCCAATGATTCAGGATACTGCACAACAACAATTACAGGTTAATAATTTAGTGCAATGGCAGCAGGATGTAGTAAATGGTATTAATACCCCAATTGCAACAGAAAACTATGAGATTCCTGATTATGATAATTTATCAAGACGCATACTTATGACTATGAGAGAGTATGGATTGACGGGAGGATTAAGTACAGAAGTACTTGAAATGGTTCTTCTTGGACTAGATGCCCATTTAAAGAATATAATTGAAAGTGCTATTGATGTTGCGAGATATAGAGAAAATAAGTATACAAAGAATGATTTTATATCCACAACTCTTAATTCTATACAGCCCTCTGATGCTAATGATAATTCCAAGAAAAGAAAGGCTAATCATGAGGTAGAAAATGAAAAGAAACGTAAGGTGACCTTGAATATTAATGATTTATATGATACATTTGAAATGTTCCCACATTTAATCGAGCCATGCGGTCCAAAACTAAGACTATCAAATGTAATGTTACAGAATGATGATATGATATCTACGGATTATAACTATGAGTTACCGCCTAAGCTAGAACCAGTCGTGGAACCAATAGCAAACGGGATACTAAAAAAGGAAACACCTGTAAGCAAATCTAATGGAACTTTGCATATTGAAACGAAAGAACTGGAAGTTAAATCGGAGGACAAACCTTTGCATGCAATTAAGCCTGATGCAAATATTGAGAAGGATGAAAAATCTTCTACAAAACAAACAGAAGGATCTCCTCAATCTAAAGAAGTGGCTAGTAATTCTCAACATTCCACAGTACAAGCCCAGAAATCGACTCAAAAGCCACCAATACCTGATGCTCATGTTGGGACGACTGATGAATTGAAATGGATGTTACATGACCTTATTTCTACGATGTAATTTTCTACTATTTATACATATAATCATATAGAATATCAATTAATTATACATGACATATTTTAACTTCTCCGTTTATAAGGCGAATCAGTAGAATTCATAATTTCCAAATTCTTCAAAAAATGCTTTATTTCAGTCTCTGGCAAGGCATTAAGTAAAGATATATGTAAACATTTGCTTTGTGAGTATGCATAGTTTAGTAGGAATATTAAATCTTCTGAGACTGATGAATGAGAGATTATTGGAGTATGTAATAATTCATATTGTCTTGATGGCTTAATATATGTTACATCTAATAACATAATATTAGATTCAAAGCTTTTAAATAAACGGGGATTACTGGCATCAACGCTTATTATATATGCAACTCCCTCTACATCTTCTGGAATCTGTAAACTTTTTATCACTTCACCTAGACTTGACTCATCGTCAAGTGACATTTTCTGGCTAGATATTTGGCTGAGACTGTAGTCGCTATTATCAAACTTTTTCAAGTATAATGGACTTGAAGAATTCAACATGTCAGACGAATTTTGGCTGATTGCAACGCACTTTAAATAACAATTAAATTCCCATGCCTTCTTACGAAATTTCTCTGACTTTTCGACGATACTTTTATGACTTGAAATGATAGAATCAAAAATAAGGTTATTTGTTGCATTACCAGAGAATATAACTGAACAGTTAGTTCCCAAAATTGAGCTATTGATGAGCGCTCCAAATTCATCAAAGATGTCACTATTCGACGCATTAGAATTAAAGCATTTGTTGAATTTAAAAAATTGGTTCTCATACTGAATTTCTTGTTCTCCGGTAAGTCTTATAATATCTGGCACTTTTGTATAAACCCTTATTTTTCCTTCATAATCCATTATTGAGTTTTCAATAACTCTTCTTTGTTGGTTGTGCTTTCTCATTTTGCCGTACGCCATTTCATAATTTTTCTGAGATTCTGCCAAGCGTTCATCCCATTCTTTGTTTTTTGATTCCAAGTCAATTAATGTATGCTCTTCTGCGTTTAAATCTGTCAACAATGATGATCTTATGTCAGAGAAGTTATTCATGTTTGATTTAAGCGTATTTATAGATTCTATGATAGATGTATTCTCATTCTCTTTTGAGAGAACTTGACTTTTTTTCTCTTCTACCTTTGCCGATATCTTGTCATACTCTGATTGCTTCTCCTGGTAAATATTGGTCAACTTATCAACTTCTTCAACTTTTACCAGTAAATATTTGTCTAGTTGTTTATCAAGTTCGGCGGTTTCACATTTTATTGTCTGTAGTTTCCTAGATTTTGTTTCTTCAAATTGGTTCTGAAGCTGTTCAATCTTCGAATTCAAACACTGTATGTCTTCTATCACTCCCTTATCCTTATAAGATTTCGCTTTTGTCAATTCATCCAGTAGCTGAAATTTAATTTCATTGTATTCTGTTGTTAGCTTGTTCGATAGGTCTTTAATCTGAACATTGATAAGCTGCTCTTTATGTAATACATTCTTCATAACTGAATCCTCCATGAACTCGAATTTTTTCTTCTGTGAGTTTATTGTCTGTTTCAAGTCTGATAATTTATGATTAAGCTTCTTCAGTGATCTTTTTAGTTCCAACAAATCATATTCTAGTTCGTCAACCTTAGATGCTGATATTTTGGCCTGAGAATCTAGCTCATGGTTAATTTCACTTTGTCTTGTTATATCTCTCGTAAATGATTGCTCTACATTGCTCAATCTGGCCCGTAGAGTTGGACGGTTACTATATGTTGCATCTGGTTGGGGTTTCTTGGATAGGTTCTGATTTATACCTATAAGCTTGTTAATGTGTTGAAAGTTCAATTCAGATTTTGCTGGAGCAGGAATGTTACTGGATTTTCTGTTCTTTTCTGCAATATTCTTTAACGCAAACAGCGAACCACTGGGTGCTGGCGGTATATGTGTTGTGAATGCATGCGTCTCCATATCAGAGGGTAAATCAATTCTAGCCATATCGAAGCTCAATGAATGTCTTTTATTGTCAACCCGTTTTGTAGGTGGGTTAGTATATGTATTGTTTATATCGCTCAAGGCACGCTTCTTTCGTGGCGACCTTTGATCTTGTAGTTCATCGTGGTAGTCAGGAAGTGGTACTTTAGACATCGTATTTGGATCACAAACAATTTTGAAACAATTACAATCGTTGAATTAAGATTTAGTTTTCAAAGTAAAACAAAGATTCTTAGTCTGGATAGTTTTTGATTCAAAACACCCTGTATTATCTTGTTCAGCAGTTCGTATAGTCCAAAGGATATGAATGTTGAAGGAATAGTAGGATCATCTAAATGTAAACTTATCATTGAAATGTAAACATTCGCACGTGAGGTATTCTTCCACTACAAACTATCCAGCTACACTATGGGTTGAATAATATTAACATGTAATATATAGGAGTTATAAAGTATGTACAGGCAGTTATAACCAATATTTATAGCAAACATCTCTGAATAAATTGCAAGCAATTTTGTAGCATCATAAGATGGTATTAATGTAAAATCAAATTTGTCAAAACGACTTCAATAGTTGTTGGTATGGATCAATGATATGACGCATACAACAGATTAATAGGAGAATTAAATGATAAATGTCTAGTTGAAGTCCTTGTTTTGTAAATTACGGGTCATTGCTGGTAAGGCTACCCTTATACCATCAAGTTCCTTGCTCATCTTAATCTGGCACCCCAATCTGGAGGTCTCGGTTAAACCAAAGGCCAAGTCCAACATATCATTCTCATCATCATCAGGCTCTGGAATCTCGTCATAAAATTCAGGATCGACAATAACATGGCAAGTGGAGCAGGCACATGAACCTCCACATGCACCTTCCATGTCCAAATTGTGGGCTTGGGCAATATCTAAAATATTATCACCTTCTGCTACCTCGAAGGATAATTGTTCTCCATCTTTAGTTATGAATGTAATATGGAGTTCTTCACCCGGGTTTGGTTTATGGAGATGGCCATGAAATTTCGGAACAGTTTGGTGAAATTGTTTGTAAAAATTCAAAGGACCCACAACATTTGAAGAGCGATAATTGTTATTTAACTTCTTTGGAATGCAACGAGTTGATTTGACTATGTTTCTGAACATCTTCCAGTAAGTTGTTATGTTATTATGTTTTAAACTGTTGTGAATGCTTTTAATGCTGATTACTCATGCTCAAATTTTTTTTCAGTCTCAATTTCACCGGTCCGATAGTCATCGATCGAACTCAATAGTCAAGCTGCTGTAAACTTCCTTAGTGTACAATATTATTACATATTAGCGTTATTCGTGTATATCATGATATATATGGTTTAATAAAGTACAATCAAAGTATAGCGAACAAAAATAGAGAAGTAACGAATTAAATGATGTATATACTGTGCATGAAGAGAAGTGCCCTTACAATCATGTTGCAGCTTCATACACTATTACCAAAATTTACTTGCAAGAACCAAAAATATTAATAAAATCAACACAGCAATAATAGCATAGCTTATGAATTTATTTGCAGTTAATCTTCTGCTCATTGACTTCAAAGTTTTGATTGACTTGTCGACGTATCCATCGGCAGTCATTAAGGTGTTTCTAGAGCCCATGATTTGCTCTCTTTGGGATCTTAAATCGTTAAGAATGTTACCCCCAATATTTTCTGTTTCGAGAGCTATTCTTTGACTATCTCTCAATCTCTCGGACGTCCTTTCTAGTGAAGAATTGTTATTCAACAACTGCTTACGTTGTGAATCGTGTATATCGTCATGAGAGTCATCATCGGTATATCTGTTTCCAAACAATTCGTATTTATCTTGATCGTCCAACAATTTCTTTAATCTATCTTTACTGTCCTCCACTTGTGCTTTATATTGACGTATCTTCGTGTTATAAGTTGATCTTTGATTGGAGGGTAAGTTTTGTACTTCTATACTCATTTGGTCCAATACTTCTAAGCATTCATCTGTTGCTGTCTCTATAGCCCTTAAAAACTGTTTTCGTTCATCTTCTCTTCGTTAGTAAAATCTCTAGATACTCCGGCGCCACTAGTGGTCAAGCTATACATACTTCCATCTGCTGACGATACTTGAGCTAGTTTAGATTTGGCTTCTTGTAATGCCAATTGCAAATCAGATTCATACGTAGAGAATAAGTCTGACATATTCCTTTGATGGATTCTAGATCAAGGATTGGTCTCCATCGTTCCTTATTCTAAGAACTGATATTAACCACTTGTGTTGATTATGTAATCGACTATTATTCTTGATAGACTTGCCATTAACAGACCTTCATATTTATTAGTTACTTTCAGCTTTTATCAATAGAAAATAGGAATTATAGATTTATAGATATATAAAGTACTTAAAAATAAAATATACTAAAAAAAAGAATTATAATATAAAAATAACAAGTTATTTGAGAAAATACAATTAGTTTCTGGTCTCAAATTCATCGCCAGAGACTTCGTCATCGTTCAACTTATACTTTTTAAACGCAGCCTTGATCTGGCCTAAGAAGTTTTCGTTGGTCTCTGATTCATTGGCAGATCCTCTTGATAATGTTGGGGCCAATTCTGCTACCTGTTCCTTGATATGATCCGGATTAGCATTTGAACTAGTCAACGGAATATTCTTCATCATATTCATCTTAGCCTGGTTTTCTTCCTCTTCATCGTCCAAATCTAAAGAATTAATGGTCATATTAAGTAAAGATTTACTTGAACGTCTCCTCATTAATTTTCCTGGGAATGGGCCTGCTTTAGGACGGTATTGTTCAATATCATTCAAAGAGTCTTCGCTGGAAGTCTTGTTGGTGTTCTCGCTATTACTCAAGAAAACAGAAGACCGTGGGGTTCTTGGTGTTCTAGGAGTCTTAGGTAATCTACATGAAGCACCATTATCGTGGATCCATTTTGCAACCAAAGCTGTCCATCCACATTGATGACTAGCACCTAATCCTCTACCAGTATCACCATCAAAATATTCATAGAATGGGAAATAATCTTTGAATAATGGATCTTTGTTCAACAAATCATTTCCACCGTTACAAGCCTTATTTTCATTCTCATCAGGAATAAACAAATGCATCAAACGATGTTGAATTTCTTGGGCACATTGAGCCAAATTCAAATATTCCCCAGATCCTTTCGGACATTCAACCTTCAAATCAGTACCGTAGTATAAATAAAATCTTTGCAAGGCCTCAACAAGCAAGAAGTTAACTGGGAACCAAATTGGCCCTCTCCAGTTTGAATTACCTCCAAACATTCCTGAATCAGATTCACCTGGCAAATATTTGACCACATACTTTTCGCCATTAACATCCATTTCAAATGGATTGTTTTCGTGATATTTAGATAAGGATCTAATACCATATGGCGATAAAAATTCATCTTCGTCCAACATTCTTTCCAAAATCGAAACCAATCTATCCTTATCAACTAAAGATAACAATAATCTCTCACCTACACCACGATACTCCATGGATGCGATGTTTCTTTCGGCAACTGACTTCCTATTTTCAATGAACCAGTCTAATCTTTTTCTGAATGATGGAAATTTGTCCAACAATTCTGGCTCTAATGTCAAAGAAGCATACAATGGAATCAAACCAACCAAAGATCTTACAGGTAATGATTGAGAGTGATTACCATAACTAATAGCATCATAATAAAACTTATCGGTATCATCCCATAACGACCTTTCAGTAGCTTCTGATTCACCTTTTGCTGCACCTCTGTAAGTCATAGCATCAGCAATCAATAAGAAATGTTCAAAAAACTTTGAGGCAATGTTTTCATAAACAGGTCTCGTCTTAGCTAATTCTAAAGCAATGTTCAACATCTGTAATGAAAAGAAAGCCATCCAACCAGTTGAATCAGCTTGCTCTAAGTTACCACCAGTTGGCAAAGGCTCAGACCTATTGAAAATACCAATGTTATCCAAACCTAAGAAACCGCCAGCGAAAACATTATTTCCATCGGAGTCTTTTCTGTTCACCCACCAAGTGAAATTAAGCAACAACTTTTGGAAGACTACTTCCAAAAAGTCCAAATCTTCAGTCCCATACATCTTTTTCTCGATTTTGAAAATCCTATAAGTTGACCATGCATGGACCGGAGGGTTAACATCAGAGAAGTTCCACTCATAAGCAGGAACTTGACCATTTGGATGCATATACCACTCTCTGGTTAATAAATCAAGTTGCTTCTTGGCAAATTCTGGATCAATCATTGCTAACGGAACACAGTGAAAAGCAGTATCCCAAGCAGCAAAGAATGGATATTCCCATTTGTCAGGCAAGGACAAAATGTCATCAATAAATAAATGCTTCCAATCCTTATTTCTACCATTTGCCCTGTTTGTTGGTGGTTTTGGAGTATTAGGATCACCTCTAGACCAATAATTGTGAACAAAATAGTAGAATTGCTTAGTCCATAACAAACCAGCAAATGCTTGTCTTTGGACTTGTCTTAAATCATCACTTATTGGCAATGGAGATACCTTCCAATAAAATGCGTCAGCCTCATCTTGACGTCTTGCAAGAGTTTGATCAAATTCTAATTCATCAATCTCACCACCTTGTTTAGATAACTTATAACGGATAGTAACATAATCTCCCGCTGGAACACCTCCATTTTCGTTAAACGAAAACCAAGCACATGCTTTGGTACCTGATCTTTCGGGATTAACGGCTTCTTTTTCATCATGGATAATTAAATCATGGAAAGCATCCTTAACATACTTAACTTTGTTCTCTTGATCATATAAACGCTTGGTGTTGGTCTCATTCTCAGTAAACAACAAAGTTGGCTCAACATCAGGGGAATTTTCGGTATTACCTGGAGCAGGTGCAAATACCACACTACGTTTACCAAATTTAGCATGATCAACTTCAATGGTGCAATCTCCTTTAGCACTTAAGTTTGGCTTCAATTTTTTCGATTCTTCAGTACCCCAAGACCATGTATTTCTCAACAATACATGAGGCATAATATGCAATGGAGCCGGCTGATCACTTCTATTGTAAGCAGTAATACGGAACAATAACTCTTCAGGGTCATCATCGCTCTTACCCATTTCAAAAACGACATCAAAGTATTTGTTATCGTCAAAGATACCAGTATCTGTAATTTCATATTCTTTTTCTTCCCTAGATCTCTTACCATTTTCCTCGATCAATTTTTTGTAAGGAAATTTGCTTTGAGGATACTTGTACAAGTATTTCATGTACGAATGCGAAGGGGTATTATCAAGATAGTAATATAATTCCTTAACATCTTCACCATGATTTCCCTGTGAATTGGTAACTCCAAATGCCTTTTCTTTTAAGATATCATCTTGTTCATTCCACAATGACATAGATAAACAGATCAATTGATGGGTATCCGCAACCCCGGCTAATCCATCTTCACCCCAACGATAAGTTCTGGATCTTGAATGTTCAAATGGAAAATCAGACCAAGCATCACCATCGTGGGAGTAGTCTTCCCTAACTGTTGCCCATTGTCTTTCCCCTAAATATGGTCCCCAATGCTTCCAATATTTAGTCCTCTTCTTATTCTCCTGTAATCTAATTTCCTCACTAGTTAATTCATGTTTGGTCGATTCGTCCGTCATCTTTTAACTAACTTTGCTGTATTATATTCTCTTAATCTATTTAAAACTAACTAGAAGATTTTGATTAAGAAAATATGCTTTTCAGTTTTTCTGTATTATTTCTTCATAGAATTGACCCCATTTAAGTAGCGCATTGTCTTCGCTGTTCAATTCTCGTTTTTCCGTAAATGTGCGCCAAATTTCATCCTTGCTCCTATAAAAATAACTAAGACCAATCATTTTATCCGCTTGCAGAACAATTATAATGTTCCGTGTGGCTTTCTTATGCATATCTTGTATAATAATAACTTATATTCTCTACAAATGGGTATATTTAAATATTAATGTTGTCAGAGTCGAAGTAAAGTTAAGCATGTCGGGGCATACTGCCCCAGATAATTGTCTGCAATATTTTGCAACTGTTCAAGGAAGGAAATTTTTACCTTCGGCCAAGATGCAAATGATATTGTTACATGCCTAACAAATCAGATATATAGAATATTTATATAGAATAGAGATCAAAGTAAAATTAGTCTTAGATATGGCTCAACAAAATTCGAAGTTCTCCAGAAAATAATTTACGTGCATATATATATACATAATTTTTGCTATAGTTCAAAGTCACAATATAACCTGGAAATGTAACTAGTATAGTGGGCCTTTAGTGAATTGAAGATATTTAACCAAAATATTGACCGGGTGTATAAGAAAAAATTGATGTGGGTTTCATGCAAGCAATCCAACCCATCTGGTGAGAATAATGTCCGCCTGAAAAATTCGCTTAATTCCTATTAGATAAACCACAACTAACCACCAAAATTAGCTGCAAATCACTTTCGACGAATTATGCCAATGAGAGAGGGGATGCTAAACTATTCGGAACCTATAGGAATTGAATAGTCTGACTCGTCAAATTATGACATCATGTGGGATGATCTTCGATCGAAGCATACGAGCATATTAGCGACCAAAATACTTTTTTTCAAAAGGACGGATCATGTTATAGGAAATGAATGTAAATGCAATATTAAGTTCGAATGATATATCTCCTCCGGCCTCACCGAATTTTTGAGAAATTACTCCTTGGTACCAAGTCTGGTTCATCGCTAGCACAGTTGAAACAATGCCGCATGCGAAGGCAACGGCACCTGCAATACCAATTGGCACGGTAGAATGGTCGTTGAAATCGGAAACATCATAACCTGAAAAGCCCCTTCTGTAAACAAAATGCTCTGTCAATGCAATCCCAAGATAAATAGAAACGTTATAACTAATAATCGATAAGAAATTAGACATGGCAGCTTCAAATACATAGTACGCAGGAATAGCAAATGCCAACGACACAAAGTTTCCAATAAGACACCAACCTAGTCTTGGAAACTTGGCAAACTTGGACCAAATAGCTTGAGCCGAAAGTGCTAGAGAGTAAGAACCAGGGAGATTATTTGCGATTGTAGATAATGCTAAAATGACACAGCAGAATTTCCCAAATCCGTGTAAGCTATCAATAACCAATATTTCGTAAAGCAATCCTCCAATAGAATCTTTATCCCATCCAGCAGCCCAAGCTGGATCCGATGCGATGCCCATGGCACATGCTGCACCCAAAATACAAGAAAAAATGCATGGGACTGATAACCCAATCATCATACAAAAGAATATTTTCCACGAAGAAGTATCGTGGGGCATGTATACAAAGTAGTCGGCAGCAGATGGCGCCCATCCGGCTGCAAATCCGAATATCAATGATGTAAAACTTAGCACATTCCCTGCTTCGACCTTGCCCGCACTCATGCTTCCAAAACTAAAGTTATGGGAGATCGTTAGTCTTGCAATAACAACTAAATAAATAACCATATTAGGGATCCATGAGTATCTTTCATAAAGATGGACGGTTTTATAACCAAAAAATGCAATAACACAAGTACTTCCAGCAATTATCACACATCCTACTGCAGGAGGAACTCCTAGCGATCCAAGCAACGTAGCAGAACTGATACAATTCACAGCATTCCAACCAATACAACTCAATAAGTTGAAGAAGCTAAATATTCTTGCGACATACCCACCTGTGAAGTACCTTGATAAAATTTGTTGCCTCAACCCGAATTTGGCTCCAAATATTGCAAATAAACCCACCGGCAAAGCGCCAATAATAGACCAAAAAATTATAACTAGCACGCATGTCCAGAAATCCAACTGGTAAACAGTGGGGCCCAATGCGCCTGTACTAATTGCACTTATCGCTAAATTTGGTGACATGAACATTGTCAACGGTAATAAAAATGACGTCTTCTGTCTTGATTCATTAGAAACTCTTTCTATTCCCCTGACTTCTGCACCATACCTTAACCCTATTTTGTCTAAGAAGTTTGTTGCTTTTGGTTGGTCTTCATTAAAAATGTCGTTATCACTCCCAGCTTCTAAATCATTATTTAATTCCACTACTTTTTCAGATTTAATCAACGTTTTTTCTTCAATCTGAGGCATGACGTTCACAGTATTTCTCAAGTGTTTATTACGGCCGGATGCGATTACATTTAAGTAATAGAGAAGACCATGCCTTTTATTGAGGTGGGTTCAGGTTGCCGTAAACTTTTATTTCATTTGCGTCAATGCGGTGTCATGAATTTCCTTATTGAGAATATTTTCCGATTTATTCCTTTCTATGCTTATCAATGAAATTTTGACATAATTGGAGCCGTACCATTATTCAACTATTCCCCGTCAAAAAATACAGAACTAAATACTATTGGTTATAGGGGATCTGATCCTGATACAGGCTTATAAGGTATTCGTAGGCATTCCTTGTTTTATCTCTTTTTTTAGTTAGTTATTTTCATATATTTTGAGTGTACGCACATTATTCATATAAAATTTTCAATTTTACATATCTATTAATTCTATTCTATTTCGGCATTCAAACATTAGCTTTTTTGAGGTTTCAAATATCAAATATTCTAAATTTTGATTGCAAAACTTGAAGCGTTTGCAGTATTCGTAAAATTGTGAAGATAGATTTTCTTGTAAATGACTTAAGCCGGGAACTGCAAAATTAAAATAATTTTGATCAATCAAACAATTTGTGGCCATTTTTTGTGTGTTGACAACTAAATGGAGTATCATTAGTTCACCTAATTCAGATATTATTGGGAATAAGTTATTAATGTGGCGATGTTCGATAGGAGCTTTAAGTACTTGTAGCTGATTTAATTTTGAAAGATTAGATAATGTCGTTATTGGGAAAGTGATTTTTTTGCAATTGGTATTAGGTATAAAGAAATCTAATTTTAATTCTTTCAAAGGATGGTTTGTTAGACTATTCATTATTGCAGCCAAATCTTCCTTTAGGCTTTCTCCATTTTTACATGTTATGAGTATATCAAGTTCCTTCAAACACATCATATTAAGCAAACGCAATATGCTACTATTGTCTGCGAGCTCATTCAGGAAATCTATCACTAGACTCTCTAAATCTGATAAGTGAGATCTTAGTATATCAAGAAAAAGTGTAGCAGGAGGGTTTCTCCTAATGAAAGAATCGTTCTCAAACATATTTTCAGTACAGTTAATTATTGCAAGTTTCTTTAATTTGGGAAGATTAATCGCCTTGATTAAATCATTTGCATTTGTAGAAGTTATGCAAAAGTCCTTTAATGTAAGTGAAGATAAATTAAGGTTTTGCACATGAAAAAAAATAGTTGACAAGTAGTTTTCATCGATTGAATCAATCTCAATTAAATTAGTAACACTCTTTGGCTTACCACAAGAATTTTTCAGAATAGTCAATTCTTGCAAATTTGGAAACTTCAATAAGTCTATTTTTGACAAATTTGAAGCGATGTTAAACCCAGAAATCTCCAATATTTTTAAGTCCAAGAGTGGATGTCGGATCAAAGTTTTCACTACTTCGAAATTTTTAAAATTTCCTCCGAGGTTGCAGAGCTTTCCTAAAGGCAAGTATTTCAATATTTCAAACGAAAGATACGTGTCAACAATAAACCAGTTCAAAGTGTTAAGATTTGTCAAGATGGGAAATATTTTTTTTAAGTATTCATTTAATATTATTTCAGGTATATCAGGAATTTCGTTTTTTAATGCAAAATATCTTATAAAGTCACCATATTGAGGATTTGTAGTAAGTTTATTCAAAAATAATTTCAAAGAATGCAAGGATTTAATAGTAGTAGTGCTAGATGATAGTTCAAATTGAAGGTGGGTTTTCGAAGAATCCACGGTTATTGATTTATACAATTTAGGAATTAGAATTTGATGCAAAGACTTATTCGTGCTAGACAAATTCACCAAATCAAATTGATTTAGCGACTTGGCTATTATATTTATAAGCTCTATGGGTAATTTATCAATCATTTTGGAAGATGTAGTATAATATGAGTTGTTTATGCTTTGGGCTTCAATATATGACTCTCGTAAAAATTTCAGTATATATATCAGCTCGGGTAAAAATTATCTGATCGGATCTAAACCGTAATCGCACTAGGAATATACCCTTCGGGCGTGTTAATGGATTGGTATCCAATAAAATTGCATACCAAATTGCGCTTTGTCGCGTGAAATATTTCACTAACATGTTTACCTAGAGCTTGTATTCATTCCTTTATAGGCTTCATATAATAACCACGGTCTGAGTTGCTATTTGGCGCTAAAATAGCTGAGTGGTTTTGGAATCTTCATTCCGAATCCCTAGGACTATATTGTAAACGTACTATAATTTGCCAGATCCCTTCACATGCCATTACTATCGGAAATAACCTTCACTACTGAAAATCCGAAATCCTGTGTCATTAGTAGACCCTACCCCTTAAGATCCGAGCACCTCAGCTGCATGCTATACCTTTACGTTATTAATTGTTGAGTCTAGCACATATGGTCGTCCTACGCCTCAACTCTATCTATATGTACAACAAGATCCATCAGTACATGTACATTGTACGCTACATGAACCTTAAATTGTAGCATCATCCGCACTTTAGCGTACTATTAGATTTGGTTTCATGGACCAATCAAATCGTAACTGAAGCACTTGTTCGCTTTACTACACTTACAAATCCTCTGCCTCTACTCATGCTACCTCTTCAAACGGACTAGATAACCTCCAAGTGCCCCACCTCATCTAGCCCTTGCTGCCTCCTCGATTCTGGCCTCAGGTCTATTTATTCTATCTACTCCGACAATAACCCACTATTGTCCACTACATGCATCAGTTATCGCAATCGTAATAATTGCTACGTATTCCCCTTTAAAGTGCGGACTATATTACTCCTCTATATATCCAGCAATTCTGCGCCCATCCTCCCAGTCCATTCCTCTCTTTCCTATGGGTGTAAGGCTGTAGGTGTACCAGAAGACCGTTTACTACTCGCAATTGCATAAGCCGTCTATGTTAAATTACGTAATTTCCATTCCCATTGCGAGGTATTTTCTAAATCCCGTATTGCTTCACATACAAAACGTAGGCGTTAGGCATGTTGCCATCAAGACTGTGTCTCCACCCGATAACAACTCGCCGGCGCCACCAGAGCATACCAGTAGTACTTGTAAGTTCATTATTATTGAACGCTTCCGGGTTTTTGCCATTATTGCCATTATATGCCGGGTTCAAGAAAGGTCGTGTCTTGTACAATATATAAAATTAATAATCGATTCCATTCCAAATATATTTAGTTTAGGACAATATCTAGTTATTATACTGAATTCTACGGTGTGAAGGTAGTATAGATATCTAATAAGGGTGAACATTGCAGTATAGTAACTTATTTTAAGTACTGCGAGGTCTAGCGAGAAGAAATTCAATAGATTAGTTGATAGAATATTATATTAGCATTATTCACAGAAATTCCACAAGAGATACTTTATTGCCACAGAATTTATAGATGTTTAATACCAAAATCTTTGATAATAATAATTCGGGAGGCCAGTCGTCGTCAGCGATCAATATACCACCGCTGGGGGCTTCGGGCATAAGCACGAACGAACATTTGAATATCCCTCAACCGATTGACATTAGCTACCAAAGACAGTCATCGATATTCAATAATTCTCGGTTTAGACGAGAATCAATTGCGCATTCGCAGGGGATGGGAGGTGTTTCATGGGGATCGGTTACGATCGGGTCCTGGTTGAAAGATGAAGTTATGATGGTGGGTAATGGTAACAACAATGCGAATACCAACGCTTATGCCAACAGCCATTTACAGCCACATATACAGCATCATTTGATTAACCCCAGAAGGGGCTCGGTCCGCCACCAACAGAATCCTAGCATTTCCATGTCGCCACCAATTCAGACGTCTTACTTGCCGGACTTAGAGGCTGATTATTGCAAGGACTATCTGTGTTGTGGGCAACTCTTACCTACATTACATGACTTGTTGCGGCACTATGAAGAAGCCCATATCAGTCCTTCTCCTCCGCAAGATCAACACATATTAAACTCGACCAGAAATCGAAACAGAAACAATGTTCATAATATCATGGAAACGGTTTCCACTACTGATGTATTTTTGAATAACCATCACCATAACGCTCATAACAATCATCCTAATTTAAATATTCCAAATAACCAATTCAATATCCACCAGCAAACAATTAGTCAAGCATCATTAAATAACACTATTCCTCAAAATAATCCAATACCGACTAACCAACATCAAATACAGCAGCAACAGCAACATCATCAACAACAACACCAGCATCAGTCTCCAACACAACAAACCCAACAAATACACCAAGCACATCATCAATCACCACCCCAGTTCCAGAATATTCCTGCACAATCAGATTCTGGAACTCCTCGTCCAGATGAAGACGATGCAATGTACATTGACGATCCAGCACGTCATTTGTACGTAATGGAAAACAATGAATATAAGCCTTATAAATGTCCGGTAATAGGTTGTGAGAAGACATACAAGAATCAAAATGGGTTAAAATATCATCGTTTGCATGGCCACCAGAATCAAACTCTTAAAGAAAATCCTGATGGAACAATTTCCATCATTGATCCGGAATCGAATACCCCATACTTAGATGGTGCCGGAATGGAAAAAGATAAGCCGTATAGATGTGAAGTTTGCGGTAAACGTTATAAGAATTTGAATGGTTTGAAGTATCATAGAGGCCATACTACTCATTAGTTGCATTTGCATTTATTTATTGTTCGTGTGTTCCATATGTATACTGCCTTAGTTTATTTTTGTCTCGCAAATTATTTTCCTTCATTGATTTGGATATTTTATCTTAATTGTAATATTTTTTTTTTCAGAGACATTTCAAGTATATAGTTTCTTTTTTATATTTAGTGAATGAAAAGTTGTCATATAATACGATCATACTCTAGTTTAAGTTCAGATTCATGAATGCATGATGAATCATTCTACAAAATATGATAGTCTATCTTGCCATTGCTTATCAATTTACTGATTCTTCACAACTAAATAAAATTGCGAATTATTTCAGACGATAAGTCAAAATTAAGAGCTTGCTTGTTATCGTAAACAATTAAAATATCTGATGAAGCTTACCTTCACTATACCGTTGGCCATAACCAGACAATGGTTATATATACTTACATTATTAATATCCATTTTTGGTGTTCTTTTGCCTATTTCAATTATTGCGTATTTGAATTTCTACAAGGTGTTGATTCCTAAACCAATAACAAGAATTCCTTTAAAGTTCGATCCTTTTTCATCTAAAGAAGTGGGAATGAAAAGTTTATTTTACTTGAATAATATAAACGAAGTATTAAAAGAAGATCCAGCAATTAAGTATGAAATTAGTTTGAGTTTGAACATTGTTTGTAACCGAAAAAACTATGACGATATCTATAACATCAATTCAGCATTTGTTATTGGAGATAAGTCAGTATCGAATAACTCCTTCTTGTTGAATTGTGATACAAGATACATATATAATGAGAATAACTGGTTTGTTCCCTATAGGTTGAGATTTTGGGTCCCCCCACTATTGACTAATATCGACAAATTGATAAATATTAAATCCCCTTTGACAATCATTACGGGAGAACTGTTACTTCAATTAATATCTGAAGGCGACAATACAAGAAATGCATTAGTACATCTCGATAAGCGCTTAATTGTTGACAATAGTAATAGTTTCCTAGAGTTAGCAATACAATGGGATGGAATGCGCTACTATATGCTTAACTATTATTTCACGTCATTATTCATTGGAGTATTAATCTTTTGGATACCAAGTTCATTTGTTTGCTTGGCTAGCAGTATGATAGTACTCTTGAAATCCACTGGTGGAAAAGAAGAGTTAAGAAAAAGGGAATAATTGAATTTTATAAGAATTACGATTTCTAAACTCTAATTCACTAATGTACATTAATATCAATAATTTGCAGGGCTGAATTTGTTGCTCTTGTTAAAAAAAATATGACATTGCATGTGGAACTGAAGCAAGATTAATCTTCATATAAACCTGTTTCTTTGACCAGGTTTAGCAGACAGTTGTCATTGGAACAATCCATTCATTGCATAAAAAGTTAACAGTATATAAAAATTTATACATAATGTTTATATTAACCAGCATTTAATATTTTAGACTCGTTTGACCCATCAACTGGTAGAAAAGGAGTGATTCTTTTTAAATAGTCTTGTTCACTAATTTCTTCATCTATACTATTTTTCCCGTTCTCATTCCCATTTAAATTACTAATAAAATTAAACTGGTCAGTTTTAATCTTTTTTATCAAGTATGTTTCAAACTCTTCACTAATTAAATTCCATTCGTTTAAACTTTTGCCTAAATTCAACCATTTGATCTTATTATTAGCTATTTTATTAAATAAATCAATTTCATTATTCGTATCCCCGTTGGATGGGTCATTAACTAACAAATTTTCATTAGTGATATAAAATTTATCGTAAGGATCTGAATTAATAAAGATCGAGATACATGGAATTTTAGGAAGCAATGGCAAATTATTGCTCTTCTTTGACCTTTCAACAAACTTCTTGTTGTGATTATTCACAACCATATATTTCTCATTCATGGAATCATGATCGATAATAATACCAAATTTATAAGCGGGCCTTATAATTTCTGGAGGAACTTTATATAATTCTGGTGGCTTTGGAATAACTAATTCTGATAATTCAGTTGAATCAGTTTGGATACTGGACGAATCAGAATCAGATTTTGATGACGATGAATTGGTTGAAGCCTCAGTGAAAGATGTAGGAGTTGACTTGAAAGACATTATACTTGGACTAGATGACCTTGATTTAAGAGAAAACGTAGTTGATAACGAAGTAAGAGAAACTGAATTTCTTTGACTCTTTAAAAGGTTATTGTCGATGCGTTCATTACCGGCCTTCTCTTCGACCGATAATATCTTGAAAAATTTGCCAAGCGAGTTAACTAGTGAATTATTTCTGGATTCCTTCATGCCTTCTTGAATCGATCTGGAATCAATTTTTGGCGAACCAGGTAATGAGGAACAGCTATATATCGCTTCATCAAATATTTCGAAGGGGTGTGTTTTCCGAATCTCACTAGGCTTAGTTAAACTAGACGAAACATCTTGATCATTGACTAGTATGAACTCTTCATTGGTATTTATTGGTTGTATTCCAAATTTTCTGTTAACCAAAGGGTTATCAGCTTTGAAGTTCAAATTAGTTGCAATATTTTGATTATTAAATTCTGATAATCTTGCATACGATTGTTGCAATTTATCTTCAACCCTTTTGGTCGTCTGATAGGAAATCGAAGATTCGAAATTGTTTACCCCTATAACTCTCCATATAATCAATCTTAAATAGAATGATCTAACCATCGGGTTCCAATGAACAAAAAACCTTTCCCATATCTCATTCGATATAAGCCAATTGATGAAATTCAACTTGAAACTTTCGTTTAAATCAACAAGCCACGCTAAATGAATGTCCTTACCTGCTGAGACCGAAAGGCGTTCAGGAATTGTACCCCAGACATTGAACAAAAAGGCAAGATTTTTCAAAACTATTTGAATATGGTCTGTATTATTCAACATCATGTAAACGCATCCTAGCCAGAATTCCCAATTCACTTCTCCTGAGACGTGGTTAATAAACTCATAAACGACATTAAGTAGTAATCCATTTTTTGTATGATCGTAAATGCTGGTATCTTTGGCAATTGAAATAAACAAGTTATCCATAAAACTGATTATACTTGTGCTAAACTCGATTTTTGAAAATTTGATATCTCTAATTGTCTTGAAAACCTTCAAAATAGAATTGTAATAAATATCATTCTGCTTGCTTACATTAATAAGCGGTGGAGGAGTGGAATTTACTTTATTCTGTTGAGGAAACTGGGATGCGTGTTGACGTGCAGCTTGTTGTTGAACCGCAAATGCATTAGGTGGAGTATTATTCATTTTGTTCATATTATTGTTTGAAATTCTCGTTATTGAAACCTGGAATATTTGACAGATATGACTGATAATTACATTGAACCCCGGACAATGGAATAATATTGACTGGTCAATATTAGGAATTGGAGCTAAATAATTTTGCAAAATTGTAATATAATGCCTGAAAAAAGAATTGAATACATCACTATCGCTATTACACCATCTCCTAACCCATGGTCCATTTGGATCTTGTATACCTTTCACCGGATGCGTTGGAGGTGTTATTGAATTAATAAACAATTTCTGCTTTTCATTTAAATTTGGCAATCCTTTAAAATCGATTAAGTAATGAGTCGTAGGTGGAAATAGACCATACAACATGTCTATAAGTGTGTCATTGATAGTTAAATCGTTAAAATAAGATAGGTTTGATTCCAATACATATTGCTTGACATTCAATAAGAATAGTAAAGCATTGCTAATGTTTGGAATGTTGAAAAACGAGTACGCAAAAACTTTCCCAACGAACGCAGAAATAGCAATAGGAACTATCTTCATACTTTGCAATTTATTGATGCAATAATCTAATGTCTGGATTAATAAAGCTTCGTATTTTCCATGTGTTTCTTTATCAACATACGTCCAATCTTTTCTGGATAAGATTCGAGAGATGCATTCTAAATAAGCATTTCTATCCGTACTCGAAACCATCGACTGCTGATTAGCCTTGGGCACAAGGCTACTCAATAAATAGGTCCACCACTTGAGTAAAACGGATGTACATATATTGAGTAAACTTTTGTAGACCTTAGAATTCACAGGGAAGCTTTCATCCAAATCACATAGCGTCCGTAAAAATGGCAACACAGTAGCTCTTAGGATATTAGCTTTTGTTGTGCCATTTGTTTTTGAGTTGAATTTCGCCAATTCTATTTCTAGCTTCTTGAATTGTTTCAATAAGGACTTTATTAATTTATCATCGTCGGATACTCCACCAGAGGTAGCTGGCTTATTAGCCGACGAACTATTCATACTTGGGGCATTATTTATAGGAGGTGTTTGCGGTGGTGTTGGTGTCGAGTTTATTGTCTCCGCTGT